CCTGTCTCCACAACAATATTAAGACCATCAATAATGTCTCAAGCCTTTACCTTTAAATTGATTAATTAAGAGGATCACACAACTAATCAATTACACTGTTGTGTAAGAACTTTCCCCAGGTAAATGACAGCCTCCTCTACTTTTGTGTTTCCATAGATATAATAACAGAGGATAGGTACAACAGGTATGTACATATGTAGTTGTGGTAGGTATAGTGTGATTGGTCTTCTTATTTAACACATCTGATCAAATTTTCTGGGTATTGAAAGATTTGTAACAGCTTTAAGATGATTTTTCTGAGCATGTTCATACACTATACATCAAGCAGATGTATTTCTTACTCTTCTAATAGCATTTTTAATGTCTCTCATTAGTTCACCTAAGCCACGCACCAGTCCTGCCTTTCGATGTGCTTTGTTATCTTTTTCTCTTGGAATACAATATTCAGTTTTTAAATACTTTGTCTTCCATATACCAGTATGACACTTACTTTTTATTTTTCCAAATTCAAATTGTTTTTGGTCAAATGTTTCATGGCTAAACACATCTTATGTGGAAGGATTTTTCTGAAAAAATTATTATCAAACGCACTCCTCTTGATTTTCAATTAAAGCCAGAGTGCACTTATTATGATAAACTATAGTATTCTATTTTAATTTCCTTGCTTTTATGGATAACATTGATTTAACCTATTTTCATTTTCATACTAATCATAATATTTCTGAATTACTTTCATTCTTCTATCATTTTGTAAACAAAACATATAAACTAAATAGAAGCATAGTTGTGGGCTTAATACTGTATAGTGCATATGTGTGGATGATGTGAATATGACGCATCTATGATAATCCTCACAGTTTTTGATGTGTAGTATGTTATCGCAACAGTACAAAGGTATCATGATGCAACATTACTCTTCCTAAGTGTTTTGGTAATTCAATTGTAGCATGTAAACCCATTATTTTAAGAAAGAAAATGAATTTATCATCTCATATCTATGTATAGACTAATGGTCCATTTCCCGAAATATACAAATTTCAATAGAGCTGCTGGATGTTTATAATGATAAATATTAAAATTTGTAGTTGAGGTCAGAAAGGGGAATATTCTATACAGGTTTATATAAATTGCATGATGAACAATGAAATACAATCCTTAAAAGCAATCCTACTGACATAAGCAAGCAGAATCTTCAAGAAAGAATTGGATAAAAGTTGAGTAGTTGACTTTTATTTTTGACCTTCAGCCTTAAAAGACCTTGACTTTTGACCTTCAGCCTTAAAAGCAATCTTAAGCAAGCATTTTCTGTGAGGATGTCATGGATGAAACCAAATATAAATTGGCCAATTAAAACAAAACTTTCCAAAACTGTTCAAAAACTGATTTTTTTTCCCCTTCATGGTAAGTAACTTTGAACTTTGACCTCTGGATCAACGAAAGCCATCTTAAGCAAGCACTTCTAGTGAGAACAATGGATGTGATCCAAGATGAATTGACCAAAAAATTGATGTGTTGTACAAAAAACACTTTTTATCTTCATGACCTGACCTTGACCTTTGACCTCAAGACTAAAAGGAATTAACATGTAGTAAGCACTTTCTGTGAGGAAGCAATGGATGAAGTCTGAGATAAATCAGCCAAACAAAATTTGAGAAATTGTGCAGAAACCAATTTTCTGCACAAAGTAACAGAGACCCTTGAGCTTTAATATCTGAACCTGACCAGCCATCTTAAGCGAGTACTTTCTGTGAGAGCAACAGATGAAGTCTGACTGAAATTAACCAAAAATAATTTTATACTGTAAGCAGAAACCAATTTCCTACAGTAACAATGATCTTATCCTTGGATCTCAAGACCTAAAAAAACCAATCTTCAGCAACTCTGAAAAAAATAAGAATGGATGAAGTATGAATTAAATTGGCCTTTCAGAAATTGAGAAATTCAATGGAAGACTTGAGCTCAAAAGCAATTCCATACAAGCACTATAGCTAGTACTGAACAAAATCCAAGAGGAGCTGTTAAACAAAACATTGGATTTTGTGCAGAAATAAAATTCAGACAGATCAATGTCAGATGAGGGCAACTTTAATATCTCTCCCAATCCTGTGTATATGTTATTGTATATATATTTTTATTCTTCAAATTATTATTGTATATACATGTACATTGAAGAGGCATAAAGACTGTAATGGTACAGTTTGAATAGATTTCATTAACTGCATGCAGTGCATTTTATATGTCAAGATGGACTTAAAACTGTGCATACATGTGTATTTTTGCATACATAGTATAGTTGAGCACACATACACCTATATATAAAATATTGCAAAGAGATCGCTATAACAAATCAATTCTTTATCTAACTATACACTGGATTGCCAACACAAGCTTATTATCCTATCACAAAACTTGTTCAGTAATTGATATAACATGAATAGTGTAAAACGCTTTACAGGACAGGACTAAGTAACTCTCATCTTAAAATTGTAAAATCCCAAAATCTGACAGAAAATCTTCTAAATTATGGTAACAAACATTTGTCTGCAACACACTAGTCAAAGTCTGGATGAAGTTTTAAAGTTAGGGTAAGGAGGTATACAAGAAAAAGATTTGTTCTCATCTTATTTTATCATTATTTTCTGTTTTCAATTGTAGTTTTAATAATCCTGTAATGTCGTACATTGGTAATATACAAATCAGGATGAAACATCTTTTACTTTTTGGATAAGAGTAGATTCACAATTTACAACACATATGACAAACTAATGAAACCTTCCTGATCTCAACAACTTCTCTTTAGGTCAGTTATATATCTAACAACAACCACACTTCAAACTTTGATTCTGTAGCAACTGTGTGTTACTGAATCAAATTTGATAGTTCAAACCCTTTCTGGTCTTTTTTCACTTACAATTCGTTTGAACACATTGCAAAACTGCACATGTAACTGTTGATAAAAGCATTGGCGTTGCAATAATCACTCCATGATGTCACTATTCACATCAACATTAAATGTGGTGGGTAACCTTGTTTATGTATTAGAAGCTATCAGACCATGGGATGTCAGCATATTTATTGACAAAGAGCAATGGTGTTTTATTTCATATTTTGATAAGATAATTACATTAAGACCATCCATTTATTTGTAGGAGTACAGAGTTAAAAGGTCTTTTCCTGGTTTTCAAAACAATTTTCCTGGATCATATCAAGTTGTCAACTTTCATAGGGATAGACTTATTATTTCATGCATATTTATAGAAATATCTAAGATTCAAGGACTGAAAATTATAAAATTAATAGTTTCCTGGCTGGCAAGTGTATAAAAGTCAGAGTCCATTGGAATTATTTCCTCGCTCCTTTCAAAAACGTCGTTACAAGCAACCCATTTCCAATGCAACAAGGGGCTGAATGAGAATTTTTCTAACACTGGACATGATATGATAAGTAAACTTGATTGTTCAGGGTTTGTCCATACAGTTCTCTGCAGATAAAGAAATTGTAGACGAGCACAGATGGGAATAATGGATATCATTCTCGAAATCAGGGACTCCACATGACTTGTTGGGTGATTGTATTGCACATTAGCTCCTGTTGTTACCTGACAATTTTTAAGAGTTAAAGTAGATCTATCCATAAGAATATCTCTTACATTTTCAATCGATAAGATGTAATTTTTCAGGTCTGTCCTTGGAATAAGTAAAACAATGCTTTTTTTGAAAAATTTCCCTTCTTAAATGTCCTGCCGGCAAGCACATGGTTTACCAGATTGGTGTCAGTGCAGTTTTTACATCATACTTCATATGCTCATAGTTACTAAAGCACTTTCTCTACTTTTCTGAAAAGGTTTGTTTATGTTTTTTTCCAGCCTTGTCAAATTTTCATGTATTGGAGTACTAATTTTTGATTTAAAACAAATATAATTGAACATCAACTGAACAATGAAAAATTTCAGTTTCTTTACAGATTATTAGAGATTTTGGTTTTTCCCAAATTTTTCCCGATACTTTTGGTGTTTTCCAGGCTTTTTCCCTGTTATCCCGGTAGTCTAAGAACCCAGTATTTAATCTCAATCTACACTCCACATATTGATATGGCAACGCTAACTTTCGCCAATACATAAGCAAACATAAGCTGTTAACGACATTTCTTCGTCATGATATCCAGTGTGATGGAGGACAAAATGAAACGTATAATTTCTTCTTAGCAGTCAATTTACATGTATTGCAGTACAGTAATTAACATGTATTGCAGTACAGTAATTAACATGTATTGCAGTACAGTAATTAACATGTATTGCAGTACAGTAGTTTAAGTGTTTCAAATGTTAATCCAACCATAATCAATTTTTTCCAGAATTTGCCATAACCCATCCTAAGTTTCCTGCCTTGCTAGGATGCTTTTAAACATAAGTTGTGACTTTGGGCAATGTTAACTCTGACATTGTCTACAGTACAGACAGTTTTATATCCCTTACACAGAACAGTTTTAAAAGTAATTCAACAAAGATTATAAATTTAGTGCTTCTGTTATATTTATTTATTTGTTTGTTTACTTCCTTATTTTTTTGCAAATAACTCATCATTCTCCAAAGAAAGCAGGGTAACAGGTCTACGACGGATGACCTCTGATGACACCTGGATTATTTATTATGCTTACTCCAATAATTGTTCTGAAACCAATCAAGTTCAGTCCACCAGATTTTAAAAAAGGGCCACATGATCAAGTGAACCTGACCTTGAACATCAAATATCTACCCCAGATACTAAGATAGAGCCAATGATGTCCTTCATGTAAGAGTATGGTCACTTCCTTGTATCCCTTGCTTGGATGCCTACCAGTATGCAGGGCGACTGGTATTCAGGGACAAACTAAGGATGAAAGAGCAATCTTGAATACCTATCCTGTTACAGATGATTAGCTCACCATCTCCAGTAAAATAATTACTGTAACATAACTCTATCAAATGCCTACAGAAATGTATAGAGAAAACTTTATCTTACCGGTCTCAGCTTCACGTGGAACTGCTCCTGATGTGGCTTTCTGGTGAAATACCAAAATCTTTCCGTCAGGGGAAAGATTTTGGCTTTAGTTTCCATCGCAAATCGTACAGGCTCTTGAATTCCATGAATAACTAAATCCACAGCAATAGTGAGGAATACACGGGTATCTGGTAAATAAAAAAGAGTTGACTGAATAGCAAAAATATTCGCAATGGTTTTTGTGAACAGAATGAGTTAACATTAGTTAAAATTGCTTTTTCCTCTAACAATGAAAAATGATTCCCTAAATTTTTCTCCATGTAAAAAATTCAATGCTTACAGTACCCAAATGATGAAATTTGATGTCCAACTTAAGCAGAAAGTCACTTGCTTCCTATATTCATAATAAGTTTTAGTAATTTGTATCACACAGGTTGGCTGGGATATCACTATGTCAGGATGTTACCAATGTTAAGCAGAATAATAAACTACTGTGGTCTACAGCTACCTTTTGGTGTTTCTGTGTTGAGTACTGCAAAGCATTTTTCTGTTGGGTCCCAATTACCAGATATAGAGTAAGATTTCCCATCTCCAGCGTAACCCATAGAGTTCTGGAAAGAAGAAGTCCTACCTATGTCAAAAACATCCATGATAAATACTATTTTTTCTAAAACTTGCAAACTGCAGTAAAAAATTCCAACACTGAAAATGTCACATTGAACATTGTTTCTGCAAATAATTCTTCCCCTCAACAAATATTCTATCACTTTTGAGAATTTTTATACTTGAGGGTTTTCTTTATCTGATATTTTGTCAGTTCTATTAATCCATAATTTCACATCTCTAATGAACTGTTAAGATTAGTATAAACAGATTTATCCAGCTATTCCCAAAACGAAGGGTCAAAAAGCATTTTTTTGAAAATTAGTTCAGTAGGTGCATTCCTTAAACCATGTGATCGAATGGTTAAACTCATTAGTGTATAGTTTAACTGGTCTACAAATTCAGGTACTTACCATTTCAATAAGATGCATATCCCCATGCTTGACATTTCTGCCTGGTGATATCAAAAGTCCAAAACATCTGAAATAGAAACTGCTTTTTAGTATTGTATGATTTGCATGCATGCAGCAGATCTTCAACTTGGACCTAGTGTTGTGAAATGTTATCAATTACACACACCCCATATATAGGTGTATGCGAACATGAAATAACAACAAGACAAAATATTTGTTTTGTTAATGCCTTTTTAAGCTCTCTTTTAGGTGCTAGTTTTATGAAACTTGTCAAACATTTCAAACCTGTACCAAATCGTAATACAATAGTGTTGTTACACTTTAAGCATAATAACGTTATCTCCTTTTTTCACAACTGATTGCAATTGTATATTAGTGATAATTTCGTAACTGAGACAGTAATAAAGTAATAACTTGAAGAGAGACAATAGGCTCAAAAACGTTAGCAAATATTTTGTCTTGTTGTTTATGTCACATTAACATATTTGGACAATACATAATGTCTGTTGGAAGTTATTTTGACAATAAACTGTTACCAGATGAGGAATACAGTTGACATGAAGCCAATCGGGATGGAAGATAAATAGAATGGCATCCATTCATTCTATTACCCCATCTGGTTACACTTTATTATTATGTTTTCATTCTCAAATATCTAGACAAAAACAAAATGAAAACCAGAAATATATCATTTTAATTTCTTGCATAATCAAACACTAACGTCAGCAATTTCAAATCAGAAAACAGTTATGATATAGTCTCTTGTGTCACCATAAATAGCAATTATATGAAATAGTACAGTCACAAATTTAACTTGATTATTGATATAAAAGCGTAAAATCTCTCAATTTTTTTTTTGGAAATTACACATTTTATTTTTTTCCATAGAACTAAACAAGAGACTAGTGGTAAAATGGAAATATATTATATATATATATATAAACTGTACCTCTCAATTTGGAGTTCCCTGGTCCCTGTTTGACTAACACTAATCATGATGTTCTTTTCACTATTACAGCGCAGCTTGAACATATTCTTGTCCTTGGGGCAATAGGAATAGTTTCCCTTCCCGTCATCCTCTTTAATTTCCAAAGAGACTGTAAAGATGGCAGTTTGCTCTGTTTCTGCTATGCTATTGGTGGACAACCTTGTGTTCTTGGGTACTCTGCGAAACGTGGTAGCAAAGGAGTAGAGAATCTTTGCGACCTGTAATTTAAAAAAAGTATAAATCAACAAATCATCTCAAAAACCACTTCAAATGTCAAGGAAAACACTGGACAACTAGAACACTGACAGGTTGGGGCCCCACTATGTGGATGAAAATCCCCCTTCCCCACCACAACCACTACCAACCCCACCCAACTCAACAACACACACACCCTAGACTGCCAGATTACTGACAAGACCTGAAGTATACTCGGCCACAAAAGTCAAGAAAGACTGTTATGAGAACACATACTAACAAATATATTCAACAATTTGATTTCATTTTCTTTTATCTATAGTAAGAGAGACCTTGACCTTTGAACTTGTGATATAAAAATCAATATCCCAAGCAAGCATTTTCAGTAAGTAAGCATTTTATGAAGTTTTATGGGCCAAACGGAACCCAAGTCATATCATGGAAATCAATTTTCCACTTAGAGTAACAGTAATCTGAACTATTGACCCTGGGACCTGAAAAGCAATCCAAAGCAAGCCATTTTTGTAAGGAAGCATTCCATGAGGTTTGAGTTTGATTGGCCTAAGCAAAGTTGAATTATCGCAGGGAAACTGATTTTTCTATTTATAGTAAAAGTGACCTTGACCTTTGACCTTTAAATCTGTAAAGCAATCCCAAGCAAACATTCTCAGTAAGGAAGTACAGACTAAAATTTGGGAGAGATTGGCAAAGCAAACTCTAGTTTACACATGTAACTGATTTTCTATTTATAGCAACAGTGACTTTGACCTTTAACCTTGACAGGCAGATAGACAGACAGACAGATAAGCTGAATAAACCACTCATATTAACATCAACCAGGTGCAGCCAATAGCACAAGGTTATACAAAATTTCAACAGAAACTGTCATGTTTGAAGTGGTCAAAGTAAATATTCCCAATACTCACTGAATTGGTGAACCATATCTGATAAACATGCACAACTTCAACAGTGGTTTCAATAAGACTGGATGAAAATTGAGAAGTTGTCTTGAAAAACAACATGTTTCATTTGAGTCAGAGAAGGTTCTTCTTTTGATCTGAATTTAATGACAGTGTTGTTTACCTGTCTCAACTCAAGGGAGAGCATCATCAGAAGAACAACAGATAACTGTAATGTCATGTTTACATAAAGGTATCCATGACATCACAATTACAAAGAACTTTCTGTGTTGGATTTATTCCTGTTAGTGATATTACCTGATTACCCCAGTGATGCCTTTATTCAGTTGTATCCCGAGCAGGTTTTTCAAGATTGTAACAATTTCGACATTGAGGGATGTTGTGCCTTCAACCCCAACCCCCAACCTCCGGAGTGATTTCTTCAAAATGCTTGCAGTTGTCCTTAGACTGAAGAAGTATTCTGCCATTTTTAATGATGTTAATGTTTCCTTTAGCCAAATTGTACTCAGAACAGAAAGTCAGAGATAACAACAATTATGCTTCAAATCAAGAGATGGTCCATATGACACTTTGTAATATTGTCATACGACCAGGCATAAAAAACAAAGCATACCGCTTCTGCTAGTTCACACCGAAAGACATGACACTGGAAAATTGCAGATTCTGCAGAGTCACCATGGCTACAGGTAAATGCAAAGCAAAGTCTCTCATTGCTGTCTGCTGGCCCCCTGGCACAGAATAGGATACGGTGGATCTTGTATGTGGCAATGTCAGTGTTGGTAGTTGGATCAAGTATTCTGGAAAACATCAGGATTACAAAATATTAAGTTACTCATATTCATAGGAATATCTCAATTAATTTACATCTCTTTTTATGAAATTCAACTGGATAAGCTCTAGTCCATATTTTGTTTTGTGTGCTCTTAAATTTAGGATTTTCATATGGAAAGTACGATACATGTTTATAAAATTGAAAATTTCCCCATCCCCCCCCCCCAAAAAACAACAATAATTTAAATGATGAACTAATTTATTGAAAAATTTAACAAGCAATTCATCACAAGACATTATCAGAAATCCACGTCAAGACAAAGGTCTGATTTTCTCAATGCGAGATATGGAAGTCAATTTGATACTGGTACATTATATACATGTACCCAAGTAATTAAGTATTCATGCATATATCAGCTAAATTTGGTGTAGGTATTTCAAATCAAACCCTGCATGAAATTGACTAACAATATTTAAACAGGCCAATTAAGCCACACCTTGTTGGTATAAATTGATATCGCTCACGCAGTAACAGAACCTATATATATTAACACTGTAACCCATTAACGAATGATGTTTTAAGATACTTAAAGGGAAATTTTTATTTTCCCAAACATGCACCATGAACAATCAACAGCTTTTGTTTTTTTACTGTAACATTTTATAGATTTGTATATACTGTAATGAGATTTCTATGGTAAAATCGTTAATTTTCATGGAGATTTATCTTCGTTGATTTCGTCGTTATTCTTAATCCACAAAATCCTATGTACATGAACTATTAAAATCATTGAAGTAAATCTATGGTGCCATGTCCATCAACAAAATTAAAAGTCCCTGAAATAGCATCTTTTTCTAAAACCATGACAATAAAACCCCTCAAAAATATGATTTTACAGTATATATATATGTGCAATTATCAACATATGGATGATCTAGAACACCAGTAATGATTGATGATATATACCACTTTACCAACAAGCAATCAGTATACAATGGCCAGGTATTGGTTGTATATATCAACATATATAGCATTACACAATAAGGCCAGTAATGTACCGAAGCAAGAAAAACATGTAAGTCTGACTTCCAAATATCTCTGTTTAATTACTGATTTAATAAAATAAAACGTGTCAGCAAATTTTCATCTTAAACACTGAATTTCTTGAAAAGTAATTTATAAAAGCAGTATTCTTTTTGCAAAGCTAACAGAGATATTTTTTTTTTAGGAATCATGATCTCTTACAATCCAAATTAAACTGAATGAACACAAAAACCAAATTGTACCTTCACCAGGTAAATGAATCACATGCAACACTTTCAAAAGGCAAGCTTCAATGTAAAGTTGCTGCAAAGCAGTGACAACACTTCATGCAGACTTAAATGGTTTAAATTTGGAAGGTCACTTGATGCCAGTATAATAATAGCAGAAATCTTAATGTTATCTCTCTAACAGATTGTAAATGTCATATTCTTCACAAAGGACCAGAGCATTTTAAAACTTGTTCATCCTGTCATGTAGAATCTATGAATATATCCAAACTTCATACAAGGACATCTTATATAACACTAATCTTAATACAGGAAATATGTGTGTTACAAATATATGGGATTGCTGTGTAAGTGCATGTATATAAAAGTGCTAATACCTCTGTAACGAGAATCTATACCTATGATGCAGTTGTAGATCACATACCATTGGTCACTTAATTACTAAGTATTTTCCAAAGTCATGTATATCATGTTGAATTCTGATAGGTATTGGATCAAAATTCAAATTCCTTTATGTTACCTATACAAATACAATTCTTTAGAATGAGAATTAATGTATAGTGATTTTATTTTGAGCATAATTTAGTTAAGACTGGTACTTTTAAGTGCGGTCACTTGTAAGGAAAGTGTCCTAAACAAACCCTCAATCCTTAACTTTCTAAGTACACAGATACATTATGTCACGCCAGTCACTTACATAATCTCAAAATAGCATAACATCTAAAGGCTTGTAACCTTATTAAACATTATCAGCCACTTAGAATGCCATTTTTTCCATCTTTATGACAGAAGCCTTTCATCATGATTTTGAAACTGCTGTGCCACCAAAGTATTCTGGGAAAGGCCTATTACCTGGCAATTTGTAGGGTCTGGGCCCCATCTCAATTAAAAATTACAAATTTGACCTAAATTTTCTTAATCAGCAGTTTGTGTGAAAAAATATAGAAGTCTTGAAAGAAGTTTTTTTCAAAATGAGGTACATAAGATATATGTAATTGTCTGATTGAAGAAAGTTTTGGGGTTTCAAGGGTTACTTTTATGGCCTACAGGTCCCTTGCTGATTGGATAAAAAGATACATCCCACAACCCTGGAATGAATCAAATAAAAATATCAGTTGCTTTTACCGATTTTATATATTGTGTCAATTGAATAAAATAAGACATAATTATCACTAATTCTATTTTCCCATTTTGTTGTGAAATGTTGACATTTACTTTTTTCTTATCTACAGTGGTAATACTGGGTCCCATTCCTTAAAAACATGGCAAAATTCTTGGTACCCCACCTACAATTTCTATCAGTCACTTTTAATTGTGTGTTGCCTATCAATGCATACAGATTTGCGACTAATTGAAAGTGGTTAATTTTTTACCTTGGCTATATCACCTTCTGAACACTGATGTTGGAACTGAAGCCAACTCTACACCAAATAAAATAGCTGGATACACCTTAATCTCACTTTTGTTCCTTTGTTGCAGCAAAACAAAAATGTGATTAAGAATGAACCCGCAAGCAATTTCTCCAACTTGTCAGAGGGACATTTCAATGCCTGCAACTTGTCATAGGGACATTTCAATGTCTGCAACTTGTCACAGGGACATTTCAATGTCTGCAACTTGTCCGAGGGACATCTCAATGTTTGCAACTTGTCACAGGGATTCTCAATGCCTGCAACTTGTCATAGGGACATTTCAATGTCTGCAACTTGTCACAAGGACGTCTAAATTCAAATTTAATTAAAGTAAAGTGTCAGGATTCATTGACTTCACTACCATATGTACATCTCATAGTAAACATATTGCAACTACGGCATATAGGAAAAGCAAGGGTATGGCTAGTATAGAGTGCACACTGCATTGGGGTTTAAACTGCAATCAGAAGAGCTGTCAAAAACATTTCTTTTGTATAGCTAGCTAACATTTCACTTTCTATATCTTTGCTGTAATATCAGTCAAAAAGGTTAAGCTCAATTTCTAGCCTTAACTATAACTGTAAGAAAAACCTAAACAGTAGCAAAAAATATCTACAAAAAGTAAGAACTGAAATGTCAACATTAACAGAACAAAAATTGGTCAAAAAAAAGGCCTGTTTCTTCTGTCAAGTTTGTTTTTAAACAGTATACTTATTATACAGGGAAAATAAAGCATCAAGCAGAAATACATGAACACTTTTGCAAAAGGAAAAAAAAAAAATCAAACAAAACATTTCAAAGGTGAATGGAAGTGAAGGAACATAAGATGAAATAATACACAGTAAAATATGTACACAACTGCATACCTAACACATCCATCAGGTCTGTAATTAAAGAAAGAAAATAACAAAATCACAGCTGTTTGATTAAAACACAATCACAGTCAAACATATCTGTATAATGGTCATAATACCACCAAACACCGAACTCCAAATGATTCTTAAGTGATACATGAACATTTCCCCAAATTACCTGTACATATTACGCACAAGCAGGAATTACTTAACTGTTATTATATACATACCCTTTCTATCAATTATTGTTATCTTTTTCGAGACAAACTAACTTAATACTACATTCACTGGAAATTAAAACTTCCACATTAAAACTATAAATAGTGGTTTATCTTTTAATCTTGATAAATACATGAAGTCTGAATTAAACAATGATGCATGCATGTCCAAAACAAATTTGGATAAGTGCATGGTAATATCAAGCCCACAGGCAGACAAAACAGTTTGATTTCATGATCACTGCTACTCCACAAAACATAACAATAGCATTTCACTTTTTAGTGGTGCTGGTTGAATTGATTTCAATAAATTTAACAAGCAAGAAGACACTTGTCATCAATATTCCCCTCATCAAGCTCTCTCTCTCCCAGGGAACTATACCACATTACCATGCTTCATACTTAACTGAATTCAAAAGTAAATACTGTACATCAAGTAATAGCTATAGGGCTACAACCCTACTTACACCATAGCTCTGCAACACTTTAGTTTTACAAGTATGGATTTAACCTAGTCAGAGGAGAATAAAATGTAAATCAAATTCAGCATCTGTAACCTGCATTCTGTACTGCATCATGTTGGCATAACTCATTCACAAGCTTCTCAAATCGAGATTCCACAAATCTTAACTGGATTTAACTTAATAATTGGAGTGGGAAAATGAGGTCCAATTCAGCATTTGCAACCTACATTCAGTAGAATCACCATTCATGCAAGCGTAAGTCATGTACCATTTAAATATTTTCCCTGAGACAAACTATTTCTGATTTCTTCTTCATCAGTTGTAAACTAACTCTATGGAACCCTTATAGTCACATATTCACTTGAGCAAGTTCACATGTAAGTCCTTTTGCCATGTAAATAGTTCTCTGAATGAAAGAGACAGAGCCCAACACTCCCTCTAACTTAGTACAGCAGGGGATATAACAATCTTACTGGTACAGCCAATGATACATTCTGATAGGAATACATGTATTACTTCTGTGAATAAATATACATTTTCCAGTCATTATCTTCTCATTCTTGGATATTTATTTGTATGACATAGCTACCAAGTGATATTATCTGATGCCAATAATGGGACACCGTACAGACATTTTCTGAGATATGAACGGGTGTGTACATATATCTATATATTTGGTTTTATTGGTGTATGTAATATTTCTCTTTTCAGTGCAAATACATACATTGTTGTAACATAAAAAAGACAGGCAAGCAAAATACAATATTAAAATGGTGGGTATGGTAGCATATCTACTCAAAGTGGTGCACATAAAATACCAATGTATAAACATAATATTGCAATTTACTGATGACATTGCTTTGTGTCAAACTTCTTTTGTAACATTCGGTCATTCCAATATTAACAGTTTACTATTACAGTGTAATACTACGAGCTATTGAGCATTCATCACAGATAAAAAAATAACATCAGTGAATACTGCACACTAAATATAAAGGATGGCATAGTAACATTTACAAATTGCTATTCTACATTCTGAGTATACTGAATCACTGATTGTGCGCTGTGCTGTAAACCATTATGAGAAAATTTGCCATCTGAGTGTTGAAAAATCAAATCAATTTATGTACAGACTTTCTAAAATTTTGATGCTGTTGAGTTTTCTAAAGGCAATATAAAGGTGAATATTTATCAAAAACAGATATTTTTCGGCACATGTTGAAACATGTATCTAAGGTCAGGAGCATCAAATTACTTTCATATTGATATATAAAATATGATACAGGATTTACCGATGGCACATGTTTAATTGTTAGTATGTCAACACTCTGAAGAATAAAACGAGTCTATCACTAATTTTGTGAAGTTTCATCCAAATGTCAGTAATTAGAACTAGAGTGTAAGAGTGAAATACAATTTTTGGTAGAAGTGACCCTGACAATTGACTAAAATCACAGACATTCAAACTTGTCAAAGGTTTGAAGGGACATCACAGTTAAATCAGTAATTTTGTTTTTGATTGTGTGTGTCTTATACATTTCCAGTTATGTTTTTGTGCTATCCCAATATTCACAGTCAATTTTGTTATGGGTGTGACAAATGTTATTGGATAACTCTAAGTCAATTCAGATTTACGAAATAAGTGACATTAATCGCCAATCAATTCAAGCAGAAGGCTACTTTTATTTACAAGCAACAGTGTTTTGTGTGCATACATTGTCATATATGACACAAAAATTTACATCTGCAGATTGCTGACCAACAGATAAGGATTTTCTTCTTATGATAATTAACAAACTTTTTATGTGCATATTTCAGAAATAAACAAATGCCATTATTCATATGATATATATATGCAATAATAAGAAAATCGGTAAAAACAATGGTTTTACCGTGATGTTGATTTATACAAAGTACAATGTATGTATGAAATATCATTAAAATGTAAAGCAAATATAAGACTACTGGAGTAGCGATGACAGGCAGATTACCACGACATACCCCGCCACCAATCAATCTGATGTAACAAAATATGAGGAGCTAGTTATATATCTGTTAAATGTATCATCAGTTTTATTGGAAAATACATGGATGTCTTTCAATGTCTAATCAATTAACTTCACTTGGTCGACCAATCTTAATGTAGGCATGCTGACAATAACTCTGGCTTCAAGTGCGTAACAAAAATAAAGCACTTTATCAAATACTTCAGTTCATGCTGAGGCAACAGTAATTGTTCTAGCAACATAACATAAAAACATGTAAAGCATTACTACAACTTACAAATCCAAGTAACTTGCAGAGATTAATCTGGCTCATCAAATAAAGGGTAAGATAGAGAAGGGACAATTATTAGGGTTCTATCCTCCACTGCATACAACATTATCCTTTCACCAAACAAAGCAATTGATGAAAGCATTTCGCCGCAGAAAATTCTTTTGATGATTGAGTAAAGACAAAGCATTGTAACCTGCACACAAAATATTATAGCTATCTTTCAATTGAAATTATCAAAATAAAATGAGCTCAGATTATACCCTGGCAAGTTTCTCATAAATTGACATTATACAAACTGTATGCTGTAACAGCAGAGATGTCAGTTTCTTGACTCACTCCAAATATAAAACTCTTCAATGAATTACTAAGAAACTGTATATCCCATTAGCATACACATTTGTTACAACATATTGAAAGAAAGTGAATTTTGAGGCTTTAGGTTAAAATAATGAGTAACATACCTGACAACTCCATGAGATGTACTTGGAACAGACAGAATAATAGGAATGGCCATCTGTAACTGGTCGTTCAGAATGGCCATGTTGCGGTAGATCTCAACCTCACTCCTTGGTGCATTGACAAGGGCACAGCCAAGGTAGGTAACTCCATTAAATACAGTTTCACCTTGGAAAGGTGAGGCGGGCAAGGACGTTGATCTCTCCCGAGCTAATAAAAAGTTAATAAAATGCATAACTATTGCCTGATTTAATAGATTGATTTTGAAACACTATGTCACTAACCACACATTTGTTTGTGTGAGCAAAATCACTTCTGTGAACAAAACCATTTCCTCATGGCTAAATGATATACAGTTGTATGCTTTACGTAAAATATTAAGAAACAGAGATAAACCATTTGACTTTTATTTCTGATGGTGACCCATCATTTGTCATCTGTTCTGAATCCAATCAAAATATATCTCACCGAGTGAAAGATTGAAATTTTGATCCAATCAATCTTAACGCTCGACCTTTTTTTGTTTTTGTTTCATTGATTTTGTTTATGAATTTGCTCACATGTGAGAACATAACAAGTAGCACAAAAATAATTAATGTTTGACCTTGGCCAGCTATGCATTTTACAATATTTCTGGTCTGTTGAGAAATATTGCTACCTTAAATTTCTCATCTAATGCTTTATCACAAACAACATTTGAAATCCAAAGGTTATGTGCTCAAGATATTTTTTCTTCTCTGCACCAAGTACCATACATCATGACAAAAAGGAAGGCTTTGCATGTACTACTGCAAATGAATACAGTTGACTTCAGTTTATTTCAGGGCTAAAGATATATATCAAATGACAAAGAACCCTTGGATTTCAGAGATGTCATGCTGTTGAGCAAGAGATATCAAAGCAAAATGGCAGATAGCATCAAAATTAAATTTTCAGTTAAATTTCCAAACTGAAAACCAGTAAGTTCTTGATATCCTATTTACCTGCAGGAGCAGTGATGACATCTGCTGACTGACTGCTTGGAAGGACATGGTCACCTTTATCACTATCCCCCAACCGGTTTTCCGTTGACAAAGATTCACTGGAAGTTAGAGTAGATGTCATCTGGTCTGGGGGACTGTCAACTGATATCTCCATGTTCAGGTCATTGATGTCACCAGTTATTTTCAGTTTGGGTTCCCCATTGACAACAACATAATCGTCGCCAGTAGACGAGGATTCCAGTGAACTGCGACTAACTGCGTCCTCCATGTCATGTTAGGCGTAGCAATGAAGGTTCCAATGGTGAACAATAGTCATTCTGGAAGAGTTAATAAAAATGGTCTTAAAAAGACTGATTAATTCTTCTGGTTTAGCCCTTGATTACACATTATATTATGAATGCAGAAAGAACTTCACTAGCCATGAAATGAAGTTTATTAGATCAATTGACAATTCCATTTCATTCCCATTTTTTAAATAACATTGATCATTTTCTCAAAATAATGGAGAAAAATTGAAGAAGCTTTCTTTCCTATGACCTTAACATAAGGAAATTGATAGCACCTGATCTCAGATACCTGCTGGCAAAATATCAGACAATTATGTTCTGGAACTTGAAAAGATTCTTAAAGTTTTCAACATATTTGATCCATGTGACCTTTTAGGAGCAGTTCATTTATATGAGGACACATTAACTTGGAGTGAAAGGTTGAAAATAGACATTTCCTTGGAGTGAAAGGTTGAAAATAGACAGACATTAGACCCATTACTTTTGTGCCATTTGAAATGGGATCAGATGTAGCAGCATACAGCAATCTTAGCCTATTGGGCTATTTCAGCCATTTCATATCATTAATTAGGAAATTGTATGGGTGAAGAGTGTCTTTGTTCCTGGACCAGTTTTCAGAAGATCTTTTAGCATCTTGGAAACAAGTTTAAAAAGGTATATCCATTTGGTTTTAAAATCTGTGCCATGTTCTGTTCTCACTAACATCCAGCACTACAATTTTTAACTTTTGTCATTCAATTTGTTTTCTTTGCATACAATCTCTTTTAATTCAATACATATCTCTGTCATAAGTCTAAATGGAACATAAAAACATTGTTATCGGTGCATTACCAGGTATCCCTTCCTTTATCTATTATTTTTTCATTGTTTTTTTCGTAACCATTGTTGAAACATTTGCAATAAAGGTCCTCTTTTAAAATAGACCAATAACAATTGATATGCAATATTGTACCTTTTTACACAAAATAGAATAATTCAGTTGTCTGTCCTTTCATAAAAGGTCACAAACTTTATCATCTCCATTGCTTATGCACAGAAAAAAAAGTGTGGCTAACAACAGAACACAGGTCAGGTAAATTCATGCTCAACTATGACAGATGCAAAAACATGTTTTAAATTGTCATTTGATGACCATGCACTCTAGTCGATGAATGATAGAAAATATCATTTTAGCACAAAGCTAGGTAACAGAAATAGACAGTTTTGATATATGCACTGTGCCACACTGGTTATGGCCCATGTTAAAGGGTGAAGTCAATTTCTGTTGTACAGGTTCAAAATAACTTTCGATCTGTGCGTTGCTACTTCAAATTATCCTGCATTTGAGTATGTAATTTATTACTCAAACCAGTAGCTGTCTCTCAATGCACAAACATTATATTAAAGTCAAACGCATCTACCGACATGAGCAGATGATCTCAAGCCTAGTGTCTCTAGTCAGATGTACTATGTACAACGCATGCTTTTGTTGTTAGGCCAGAATTCCATGTCACTATGAGAGTAAAATGTAAGTGTCTGTTAAGATCACAATATTATATGATATTGTAGGAGATCATACGTGATTAAAGAGCAAGTGCAATGTATGCGTCGGGACGGAGAAAGCTAAAAAAAACACCATCGGGAATCAAATATATATTGCCAGCAACGATGAAACAATTATGTTTATGCAAAAATGTGAACAATTGAGTTGTTCAGTGATTTTGGTACTATAAAATTACCTGATCTGAGTCTAAGCCACCGTCATCCAAATAAAAATGACGATTTACTCTTAGATGAATTAACTGTTCCTCATAATATTATTGAAGAAGATGGCGCTAAACGAAAACTTCCGCATGATGTCACCGATGACTTCGGAAATCTCCGTCATTTTCCGGAAACTCTCGCTGAGTAGCAGACGATTCATCTGGATTGAAATAGTAAAAACAGTTATGCGGGATTTTTAGGAAATTTATGACGTATAAATTCGAAACACGAATTCATTGGAACGTTATGATAACGCTTTTTATTTCAAATATATGTATATATATATATTTATATCTCGTGAAAGACAGCACGTGCGATGATGTCAGAGGGTGTATAAATACTGCAACTGACGCGAGCGTCAGTCAGTTTGAATTTGTACAGAGAACGTTGCGCTCTTGAGTACAAAGTTGTTCAGGCCTTAACCCTTGAAAAGAAGTGAGACTGCAGAAAGAAAATGGTAAGTTACATGGTTTCGACAGGATTCTTTTATAGACAATTCCATTTTCTCCTAAGAATTTCAATTCCAATCACTCAGTTACAGTGACAAGTGTTGTAGTACCGTTCTTTTTATTTGAAAAAAAAAAGATTCGCGAATTCAGAAATTGACATCGTTGAAGTGAGGACCGTTTATTTAAATGTTTTGATTATTGCGAGCACCTCGTTAACTTGTCCGTTGCTTGTAGGTATATGTTAAAAGCATCGTTCGTTTCATGTGCGAGCGATCAAACGTCTTGCAACGTTAATTTAACACGATTCTTGCAATTTTAGTATAATAACCATTTCATATATAAAATCTGATGTTTGTAGATGTTTACACGGAAAACTTAAATAACATTGAAAGATACATTATCGCCCATGGTAATTTACAAATAACTCGACCGACTTGTATTAGATAAAAATGCGTTCCAAATCATGAAATTTAATTTCGTTTAATCTATACAGGTTTAAGAACTGCAATAGCATGGTTATATCATTTTGATGAGCGTGAAAGTGATTTACTTACTAGACAGGTATATGTAACTGTTATCATGTTTAGATGAATTTCGATCATAGAACTGTTCCAAATATAACTGACACACTTTTGGTCTATCAGATTATGATAAGTGTTAAAGCATTGGGACTTGGGAAGTCTACCTGTTGCTTGGCACTGAACATCTGCAGTATTTCTAGCCGAGAAACAACTGGAAGCCACTACAGAAACAAAATGGGGTCAACTGCTGATACACAGGAGTGGAAATATACGTATAGCATACTGTCAGAAGCTACATTACTGTATAACAACACATAGTAATACTGTTGTTTTGGGTAAACCTTTACATTTTTCCAAGGACAATTAGCAACATCACTATTTTGCAATTATTTAGCTTAATGTGATTTTTTTTATTTGTTCCAAAATCCACCAGATTTGTTTTTTTAAACATTCCTTCAATTTGAAGTTTATCTAATTTTATGTGAAATAATCCTAACAAAAAAAATGCAAAATGAGAGAGAAAATTGTCATATGGAAAAATGTCTATTCTGTGCCAAAATTAGTTGACATCTATTAAGATTACAGAATCTGATAAGGACAGAGGAGGACCCAAACTGATCAGTAACCAATCGAATCTTTTTTTGTGTTGTATTTCAAAAAGTTTTCAGTTTCATCTATAGGAAAATTGGCTGAAACTGTTGGCAAGATGATTAGTCAAGTTCAAGGTATTAATGCTTATTGAACTACTAATACAAATTTCATTAATACCAGCTGATTTATCAATTTAGAGCCCAAATAAAAGGTCTTTAAGGTCCAAGGAAAACACTGCTACAGCAACTTTGAAACCTATGTTGTTTATCTCTGTTTAGAAATGAAATATGAGGATGTGATGCAACATGACAACACAAGCCAATTGCATATATTTCATCCAGAACCAACATAAGATATTTATGAAATAACCAGACATTATCAATATGCTTTTGCAGTTTTCCTAATTCCAATATTTTGACTTTAACATTATATTTGGTTTTTTTTTGTAAGCACTGCAGACTTATTCTTATTTCCTTTAAATGAAGGCATAGTCCTCATGCACACCATTTTTTAATCAATGTAGACAGATTTGCAGGTTCAACTTGAGAAATGAATCTTTGGTCTCCACTTTCTGGTCCTTGCATACTGGTGATTTCTATGATGCCTGCTTTTGCCTTACTCACATATATGTATATGCACTACTGACATACAACCAATGCATCAAATGCCAGCTGAGAGTATGATCTCTTAGAGAAAAAATGAAGGATTCAAACACTTGATCAAATTATTTTCCCTATGAAAGTGTTACAATTTAGGCCATTGTTCTTTGTATTTTGAAACAGGTATGGTGAGCCATACCCATGCATTTACATAGGAAATTGCTTGAAAACCAGGGGTACAAGTTTTGAATTTCACAGATTTTGAGGGTTTCGCACAATCGTTCAGGTGTCCTGGGAATACTGTTAGGTGCACTGCATTAAAAGATGACCCATATGTATTGGTAATTTGGTATTTGGACTAACTTTTGTCAGTTCTAAACAGATGTATGAAGGCCAAATTATTTTGTCTTAGTTTTGATCGGTGTTAAATTTCTTCTTGATAGAGAAGTAGTATTTTGAAAAAGTTTATATAAGGAGTTAGGCAAAAGTTTGGCAGAATAAGTTCAAAGAAGAACTCACAGGTATTGATTTTTACAGGAAACAAAGGTGTAGCAAAAGTTGACAATTTTGTCTCTTTCAGTATTTCATCATATGTGATGGATGTACTTTGCCTTTATATATATATTTATTTTTTCTGTATTTTAACACAGAGGGAGTGTATTTCTATTCATGTTGGACAAGCTGGTGTGCAGATTGGCAATGCTTGTTGGGAATTGTACTGTTTGGAACATGGAATTCAGCCTGATGGACAGATGCCAAGTGACAAAACCATTGGTGGGGGTGATGACTCTTTTAACACTTTCTTCAGCGAAACTGGGGCTGGAAAACATGTCCCAAGAGCAGTATTTGTTGACTTGGAACCAACTGTTGTGGGTAAGCATTTTTATCTTGTTGTAGGGCCTCCTTGCTTGTTATTGATTTTGTTTTACCTATAAGGCTTGAAAACATGGAATTTCTGAAGTGTTACTTATTCCTAGTTTGATCATTTTTACAATTTTCATATTTTTTTATATTCAATGTTTGTTGTTAAAATGTCACTTTGGTAAGAAATTAGAGCTTGAACATGTACATATACTCAACTAGATACCATTTGTCTCGGTAACTAATACAGATGGCAAAAGTCTACCATTTCAAGATACTTGAAAACCTACATGTGTAAAATAATAAAGTATTTCATTTTTTTTTTTCTGTTATGTAATTTGTAAATTATTTTGAAGGTAAACGTATGTTCATCTGGAAAATGACTACATCAGTTGACATGGTTATAAATATTTCGGATTATATTGCAGTTAATTATCTTTGATAAAACAGCCACCAACCAATGTGTTGTTAAGATATACTGTGATATCAGTGATAAATGATGACCTGCAAGTGAAAGGATGTTTGTCCCAAAGATGACAAGATATGGTTTTATGACAAAACTGCCATGCATAGCTTACATTCAGCTTTTGATTTTTCTGAATTCAATGGGAATGAAGTATTCATTCATGAACATTTGAACATTCCTTCCAGCTCTATGCGGAATAGATATATTGTTAGTCTGTAGTTTTCTATGTTTTCATTACAAAACGAGTTATGTCTATGTTAGGTTTTCAACTTATAGCAATGTCCTGTATTTTTAAGATGAGGTAAGGACAGGAACATATCGCCAACTCTTTCATCCGGAACAGCTCATCACTGGCAAAGAGGATGCTGCTAACAATTATGCCCGGGGTCACTACACTATTGGCAAAGAGATTGTTGATCTGGTGTTGGATAGGATCAGAAAATTGGTAATTCATAATATATTTTTACTACTTTAATATAGACAATTTAACCATGTGAATCATGGAGACCCCAGACTGAAAACTAGCTTTGAAATTTTGCTTTCAATCTGTTAGGTAAAAAAAAGACTGTCAAAGGTTTATGTTGCATGAATTAATGTGAATATGTTTTAAAATCAAAATGATTGGTCATAGCTGATTTACTGAAAAACACATTTTCTAAGGTGTGCATTTTTTTAATTCACAGTAACTGTCTGTTTCAAGGTATGTAGCAAGTGAAATGTCACTTCATATATCTTGTGTATATGTGCCTCAAATGTTGGTCAAATGACTAGACTTCATAACCGATTGAATAATAATATTTCACTGTGTAAAACTACATCAATTTATCTTCAGGCTGACCAATGTACAGGACTTCAAGGATTCCTGATTTTCCACAGTTTTGGTGGTGGAACTGGATCTGGGTTTGCATCTCTTTTGATGGAAAGGTTATCTGTTGACTATGGAAAGAAGTCCAAGCTGGAGTTTGCCATTTACCCTGCTCCTCAGGTGACTGAATTTTGATCAATTCCTGAAGATGCAAATTTGTGAATACATTTTGTTCAGAAAGTGCACTGCTGAAATATTCATTAATTGCTAGTCTGATTATTATCCAAGAGGGGTGGGGTGTCTAGACTATAGATTCTTCAGAAATCTGCTGCTTTGCACTTTATTCAGATGTTGGGCTGCTCACTCTTCATCTATAATCCATCTGTAAACAACGGATCATTCTCAAATTTCATTTGTACACTTCCAATGCTAGTTGATTGTTCATTTTGAGACAAATAATGATAACAGAAGGCCATCTTCAAGTTTGACTGTTAAGATTGTTATTTCATTTGAAAACAACTGGATGGATCATTCTCAAATACTTGAATAGTGTGGGGTGTCCTGCTGGGTGTGTTTGACAGCATACATCATTGTAGTAGCAGTATGGTGTAAAGTTGGCACGACACTAGTTCTGCACGAGCATACTGCCTTAAGTATTCTTGAAATACGGATACATAATTTCTTGCCTAATTGACCAAAGCTGTCGGTAGGATGCTCAGAAACATAAAACCAAATATCCATGTTGTACATTTTCAATTTCAGTCGGATCAGGAAAAAATATAAAATTTTACCATCTTGCATTTTTAACATTTATAGTGTGTAGTTGCTATTATTTGAGAGGTATTAGATGGATCATTTTCTCGATTTCGTTTATGCCTGTAAGTTCCCTTTGGTCCCCAGTTGTGCTTTGAACGGAAAAGATCGTATTATGATGAGTGTTAGATTCCACAGGGATTACCAATTAAAATAAGTCGGTGGTACAATACTTTTTACAAGTTCATATGCTAAATATTGATTGATTATGTGAAATATTGAAATTCAACGAGAAGTTGGAAAACATTCTTATTAGTGGACGAATTTGTATGGAGCAAGCTTTGGTCTCCCAAGTTCATCTAACAAGTGAAATGTATTATTTAGTTTCACAAATTAATTAATGTTTTCAACTTAATTTGCAGGTATCAACTGCTGTTGTTGAACCATACAATTCCATCTTGACTACCCATACAACTTTGGAGCACTCAGATTGTGCGTTTATGGTGGATAACGAAGCTATCTACGATATCTGCAGGCGAAATCTTGACATTGAACGTCCTACATACACAAATTTAAACAGGTTAATTGGACAGATTGTCAGCTCAATTACAGCCTCACTTCGTTTCGATGGTGCCCTGAATGTAGATCTTACCGAGTTCCAGACAAACTTGGTGCCGTACCCTCGTATTCATTTCCCTTTGGTAACCTATGCGCCAGTCATTTCTGCTGAGAAGGCATACCATGAGCAGCTGTCTGTTGCAGAGATAACTAATGCCTGTTTTGAGCCAGCTAACCAGATGGTGAAATGTGACCCACGTCATGGAAAATACATGGCCTGCTGCATGCTGTACAGAGGTGATGTTGTTCCAAAAGATGTCAATGCTGCTATTGCTACCATCAAGACCAAGAGGACCATCCAGTTCGTTGACTGGTGCCCAACTGGCTTTAAAGTTGGTATCAACTACCAACCACCCACTGTTGTTCCAGGTGGTGATTTGGCCAAGGTGCAGCGAGCTGTCTGCATGCTGAGCAATACTACAGCCATTGCTGAAGCATGGGCCCGTCTCGACCACAAATTTGATTTGATGTATGCTAAACGAGCCTTTGTCCACTGGTATGTAGGAGAAGGAATGGAAGAAGGAGAGTTTTCAGAGGCTCGTGAGGATTTGGCTGCCCTTGAGAAGGATTATGAGGAAGTTGGTGTGGACTCTGTTGAGGGAGAAGCTGAAGAGGAGGGAGGAGATGAATATTAGAATTCTGACCAACCAGAATTGTGATCGCTAACTGATTTAGATAGGAAAGCATCAAAAATAAAGACTGGTGTTTTATATTGTAGGTTTGAACTTTGATTAGTAATATGACACACAAAATACTTTGATATATAAATGTGTGCTTCTTTTCTTTCCATTTTCTTTATATATAGTTTTAAAATCATCATTTATTAAACCAGTTTCAATTGCTAGTGTTGGGGTTTGATTTACTTGTAATAAATAACAAATTTTGTTCCCTGAACATGGATAATTCAAAGGTCTTTTAGAATGAAGGTCATCAACAGTGCCAACATGCGTCCCTTGAGGAATTACTCTGATCTCTTCTAAGAAACCCCCCACCCTGTTTACCATTACATAACCATTGATACACACTCAACCTATATTGACAAGTTACCACTTGTAGTCAATGGCATTTTTTAGTTGCCAGAGTGATTTCAATACAGGTATGATATCAAATTTAGAAATACTACCTTACAATAATTCTACATCAAGAGAAACAGAAAGTGGATGCAATATGTCTGATTTTATTTTCATTAAGTCTGAGCTTTCATGCTGTACAAGATTCATCTTGACTGTGAATATTACCTATGGTCTCTGAACCCTCTGAGCATAACTTCTTCATTGCACACATTTCTAAAACACATTTTCCCAGTTTCTCATACTCGGCCAGTTCATTGTAGATATGACATGATAATCGAATATAAAGGGTGCCTTGAATGCATTTTACAGGAACCTGAAACACAAAAAGAAAAAATATAATACTGAAACTGAAATAAGTACTGCAAACCTATTCTCAAAGGCATTTGTTTAAATAACAGTACCTGTATAAGAAATTGCTGAACTGATTTAAAGGAAGAAAATTGTGGTTTCAGTACATCATTTACCTCTATATTGTACTGATGGTAGAGTTGGTTCTGAATGGCCTCTCCAGTACTGTATGTTGCTGCTGTATTGGAATGGTACAGTTGGCGAGGAAGCTCCACTAGAGCCATACAACCTGGACATGAATATATATATATAGTTTAAACATATATATTCTAGCATAGTTATTTTATTTTGAGGCTCTTCCCATGGCAAGTACATTTTGCATTTTTGCTAAAATATGATGTACATTTTTTTTTTTTTTTACATTTATTACTGTAACACTTATTCTTCATTGTGGTTAATTAATTTGCCAAAAAGCTATTATGAGCCAAAATTTGATAGCATTACTTAATAAGTACATTTATGGCATGTCAAAAGTAGCCACAGTCGGGTAAACCATCATAAATCATTACTCTTTAATTAAAGTCAGCACGTTGAGATCCTGATCAAAAGTGTTTCACAAATATTCCAGTATGGTCTTGCTGTCCAAGACTGTTTTTTCCCCCATATGTTCTGTTCAGCCAATGATCGCAAAATTTTATTATATTGCTCTTCTAATACAAAATGTGTCGTAGGTTTTGGTTTTGATTTAAAATTCATAGACTACCTGGTACACTACCATCTTATTGGTCAAAACTCTTGACAGAAAGCACTCCATGTAATGAATTTACCTTTTAACTGAGCCTGTGTGGTCTGAAGTTGTTTCAATGTCAAGTATTTTATCTAACGGTTCAACATATGTTGACTTTAGCTTACAAATCATCACAAAGTTTGATGTAGTTTAGTAGAAACAGCAGTTTATAACTTACATTCTGAACATGCTCATTATGGGCACTATTTGTGCATGCTACATTTTAAGCTTCATCAGATTTTCAAAATGACTGCTAGTGGCAATTTTGAACCTTGATGTTTCAAATTTGCTACAATAACTTATTTTAATGGTAGATATACTTTTACAACAATTAAGAAATAAAACATGTCAACACATTACTTTTACTACCAGGATCACAGATACATACTGATCCAGATTCTGACAGTTTTAAAGAATTAAACATTTTGTTCCGTTAATTCCCTTATAAAACCTGACAAATCTAGAAAAAGAAATTGGGTTTTGGTAATAAAAGATAATTGTCAATTTTGTAGTAAAATCTGTTTTCTTACTGTGTTTTTCCTTTATTTTTCAGCTTTTATGGGATATTCATCCACAAGTTAAAAGCATACCTCACTATACTTATTTTTAGAAATGATTGTACTGCTGGTAGTGTTGTGAAATGAAGAAGTATAGTTTCATGGATTACAGGTAGCTACACTCTCCTGTGTTCTGCTCTTGACTATCCTACGACTAGAGTAATATAGACATTCTACTCGTACATACATCTGTCTGACAGTGTTTTTAGCCCACCATCATCAGATGGTGGGGTATTCAAATAGCCCTGCGTCCGTGGTCCGTCGTCCGTCCGTAAACAATTCTTGTTACTGCTATTTCTGAGAAAGTACTGGATGGATCTTTCTCAAATTTCACATGCAGTTTCCCCTTGGTCCCTAGTTGTGCATTGTACCTTTTTTGGACTGATTTGAATTTAAGATGGCCGACAGGTGGCCATCATGGATTTTGGATGTAAAAGTTTGTTACCGCTATTTCTTGGAAAGTACTGGATGGATCTTTCTCAAATTTCATATGCAGGTTCCCCTTGGTCCCTAGTTGTGCATTGTACCTTTTTTGGACTGATCCAAAATCAAGATGGCTGACAGGCAGCCATCTTGGATTTTGAGAGTGAAATCTTGTTACTGCTATATCTGAGGAAGTACTGGATGGATCCTTCTGATATTTCATAGATATTGGTTTCCCGTGGTCCCTAGTTGTGCATTGTACCTTTTTTGGACTGATTTGAAATCCAGGTGGCCCACAGGCAGCCATCTTGGATGTCGACAGTAATACAGCACAAGCATATTGTCCATTATCCATCTGTAACTGACTGCTATCTAATAATATTGAGTACATTCAATGAAGACCAGTTCATCCCCCCCCCCCCCCCCCCCCCCCCCAACCCCACAACCCCATTGCCTTCTGAGTAGCAGAACACTTAAAATAATGATATCCATGCTTGTACCTTCGCTGAATGACTATTGTATTTTTCTACCCTTCTTTGTTACAAGATCTTATTAAATTTACTTTGTTTACAAAATTTCCCACCTTTATCCTATTTTGGCTTCATCTTGTGATTAGCAAACACACTCCAAACACCAAGATGAAGTTTAAACTCCAAAACTGGATATAGATAGCAAATTGCTTACAACGAAAGAGATTACCAGGCCTTGGAAGGTGTGACATTACAGAAGGGTGGATTTTTGTTAATTGAGCATAACATTTTTAGTTTCAATTAATTTTCTGCAGGTGTTCTTTAGTTTGGAAAAAAATATTGATTTATTGGAAAGAAAGAGGTGAAATTTACCAAACATTTCCATAGGAGCTGCCAGCTTTGTGTGCCAGAGTGATGTTAACAAATCACCTAGAAAATAGTAAAATACATACTGAGAATAATTAGCATTACCATGTTCTTTATGATTTTTTTCTTTAAATGAAAGAACATGTAAAACATCAATGTATGTTGAGAATACCACACTGGCTAAAATATCAAATTATTTTTCTTATGATCTGCCATATACATGAATTGTGAAGACCATACCAATTCCTTGGACATTTAGCATAGTTTGTAACAGGCTTGTCTGAAAAGATCTAACTCTTCACTTGACTGCTTTAGACAAGGATAGGGCTTACTTGTGTAGTAGACATGATTGTGGCCTTACAATAAACAGTATACATGTACTTGGTTGGTATCTTAAAAACTTACACGATTCCCTGCACAGAGTATACATATACTGTTGTATCTTTTTGTTTCCGATGTCCTCCCAGAAGTTCATGTTCACATGCATGGCTAGAAATGGACTGTAGTCATGAAGACCTGAAGTGAGCAAAATTCAGTTGTATCTACTGTATTGATTTATCAACAAGGCAATGAAAATATAGTCCTGTTTGTGGGCTTCATTTATTGCCCTGTGAACAGTCATGGTCATTAAAAGTGGGGCTTCCTTGTAGCTGGTGGCTCCTTCACAAAACAACAAATGGGATAACTGTTGCATGACACCACAACAAATAGGGTTAAGTGTCTCCCTAAAGACAACCATGACAGTACAGTGAGACCCATTTCTTGGATTCCCCCACGTCTCGGCTTCCTGGGCAACACAAACCGTCACTTGTAGGGAAGATCAAGTCTTACAACCCCTTGATCGTCATCTGGGGGGTAGGACTTTAAAGAATTGTTCTATTTTTGCTCTATTGGGCCCTGCCCCTCCTGCCCTAGGGGGCCAAATCTTACTATTTATACAGTGTTTATGCTTAAAAGCAAATTTAAGCAAAATCCAATCATTCCTACACGAGGAGTAGGATTTCAAAGGACTTTCCAAATTTCCCCTTTTGGATCCCGTCCCTCATGCCCTAAGGGGGAAGGGGCGGGGTCACACCACACAATTAAAAATGTTCCGCTTCCCCTAAGGATGTTTTTGATCAAATTTGCTAAAACAAAATTCCAATAAGTTGTTCATGATTAGCAGCATTTTGTAGAAAAAGTTGGTGGATGACAGACACCCCAGTATCCCTATAGCTCACTTTGACCTTTAGGGCCAGATGAGCTAATAATGATTAATTTTCCTTGTTGGGCCCTGCACATCATACATTTTATATAAAGCTGAATCCCCTTGACCCATGCATGCTTCAGACCAAATCTTGACAATATTCTGTAATTCCTGAAGAACAAGATAGATTTCAAAGAAATGAATATATTTTTCTATGGGGGCCGAGACTCACCGTTACATAGAACCACGGACTTATATACATATGTATATAAGTCCGTGATAGAACTAATTTTTCTTCACCCAAGCATGCTTCAGACCCAATTTGAACAATATCCTGTGATTCCTAAAGAACAAGATAGATTTTAAAGTATTGATAGATTTTCCCTATTGGACCCCGCCCCTTTAGCCACAGGGGGCCAAGACCCACTATTTATACCAGACTGATTTTCCTTCATCCAAGCATGCTTCAGACCCAATTTGGACAATATCCTGTGATTCCTAAAGACATCTGATTTGTCAAAAGTAAACAAGAGTACTGACATGTCAGTAAAATATTTCTAATTTGATCTGATGACCTTGACCTATGATTGGGTGAGCTCTGATTTGATTTCAGTAAATTATGCTTCATTATATGTAACATATCGTAAGCAAATTTTTACCAGGAAGCATTCAGATAAATGTTTTGCTGAACATGGAAAGCAATGGAGAGTTTCTGTGAAGAAACAATGGAGAAACTGTTGAGTGTAATCATTGAAGCAGAAAGGAAGGTATTTCCAGAAACTAATTTTCAATTGGTAGTAACAACAACTTTTGAATCTCAGGACCTAAAAATCATTCCCACCCAAGTACTTTCTTCCAAGAAACATTTGGTAAAGTTTGAGTGTGATTGGCCCATTAGAACTTGAGATATTGTTCCAAGGCAAAAAATTAAAACAGACATACAGACAAATGGGCAAACTTATTACTCTAGGGCACCTGCAACATTGATGCTGGGACCTAATAATTTGTGGAGTAAAATCATGAGACTAGCATGGACTACCATTGTTGACTACCCTGATTGATACTGACAAGTCAGGAAAATGGTGCCAGAGACATTTGCATGACTCTGGAATGTTGATGCTTTGCTTTACTTTAAAAGTAATCGGTGTCAACAATCACAAAATAACAAAGACATCAATAATGCACAAAAGGGCATTTTGGTATTAGATGTTTGTTTAACTGTATTAGAAAAGGGAAAATATATTGTAATTATACTGTTGCATGTATCTTTTCTTTTTCAACAGTCCACTAATTATAACAACATAGGTAGAGACATATAACACACAGAATAGAGGAATTGAAGTGGACAGCTGTTGCCTGATCCTTATATCAAGGAAACTTATCACTTGCCAATGATATCAATTTTATTTCAGTACTGCTGATTCCTCCCACATAAACCTCTAGCTGTTGTTTACAGACTCACAAATACAATTACAAACATTAAAATGTACAGGAAACTCTCACCTGCCCACATAAATTCAGAGTTGAAGCCAGAGCCAAAGCCATGGGAGATGACAAGTGGCCTGGTCTGGGCCTTCAGTTCCTTCCTTACATACAGGAATGCAGACCCTTTAGGGCAACAAAACCACTTATGGGCATTGCTAACATAGTAATCAGGGTCTAGAGCCCTTAGATCCAAAGGAAGAGCACCCAATGCATGGGCTCCATCTACCAGTACTGGAACACCTCTGAAGTCAATAAGATGTTATGTTCTTAAAGCACATTCCTTAGCTTGTATAAAAAATACACATAATACTGTCTTTATGTGATGGTACTTGAATATTCACTATCGGCCATTTGCTGTGTGTTCATTATTGTAAAACTTAACAGGTCAGCTTTGGACTTAAACTGCCATATCAGTGTAAAGTTAATATATTTTACTAATTCAGGAAAATATAGATGTTCAATTCAGTTTCATTTTGTGATATAAAATTGTTTCAACAAAATAAAGCCCCTTCACAAGTATTACATCATTATACTATTAATTGTCAAATGTAAGTCAAAGGTACCTCTCAAAATGTACCTGCCTACGAAGTAATATATTCCTAAGTAATGTAGTCTAGACATTCTGGTAAGCCTTAAATGATTAAGATAGAAGTCATATGTAAAGTAATATTTATGGTTACATTGACAAAGAATGGGTCATGCTGTTATCCCAAAATGTGTTACATGCCACCATTCCAAAATCAAATTCCAACACAAAATTCAGCACAGTATATGTAATTCTAAGAGAAATGACTCTGAAGTCTTTTTCTATGAAACATGTAAGGTACAAAGTCACATTAACCTACATTTGGTATGCACAAGTCACAGTGACATATTTTTGGATTAAATCAGTTTTTCTATATTAGGTATCTGTAAGTTATAGTGAACTACTTTATGTACCGGTTATGCATTACTCTCACCTTTCTTTACAAATACTGATTATCTCCTTCAAAGGCAGAATCACTGGAGCATTACTGGGTATGTGGTCAAATACTGCCAATCTCACTCCTGAACTTAAGGTTTTCTCCACCATGGAAATCACCTGAAAATAATAGTGATGTACTTATATACATATTATATTAATATAATGTTGTTCATATATATACAACATATATAAATATACTTAAAATACCACATGACAGCCTTAGTTGGCTAAATTTCAATAAATGTACACAGACTGCAGCATTTTTTATTTCTCAAGAAATTGTAACATTGTGCTATTATACACTACTGCTCCAGTGTCATAATTGTTTTGAATATTATCTTGATAACTTAATGAAGTGAAAATATATCCTTGTTATATACACTTTAATAGTTCTAACCTGGTCTTTACTAGTGACTGGGAAGTTAAGCTGTACTTCTTGAAGCACAGCTCCAGTACTTTCACACACAAACTGCAATAGCTTTTTTACAGCTCCTGGTGGTGGAAAAAATGGAATAATTCATCCTAGGAGAACAAGACAGGAAAAGACTTTTTTTCTTCTTGAAAGAGATCAAATCATTCTGAACAATTTCTGTTTTGTGTTAAATGCAACTGCATGCAGAACACTATTATGATAATGTGTTCAAATTAAATGTTTTTACAAATTGAGTCCTCTTCATCCAAGCATGCTTCAGACTGGATTTCTCTATGTGCCCAGCCCCTCTACCCAGAGTGATATCAGACCCACCATTGATGCATAGATGAGTCATCATTACATGAAGATGCTTCAGACCAAATACAGAAAAGATCTATTCATTCTAATGTGACATAATGCTTATGAGAAATTGGTTAACCTTTCCCTAAGGATATTTCTGACCAAATTCAACCAAAAGTTCACTGATGACTCATGTGTTGCAGTATGGTACAAGCTCCCCAGTCCTTCGGATCAGGTGAGCTAAAATAATTCAGTATTAACATAATTCTTTGTTCAAGATATTTATTTTCTGCCTTGATATCCAAAATTTTACAGTTATAGAGTAGCCAAAATGAAAATAAACATGATAATGATGGTCATGTGTCTGTCATGGTATAATGTCTACAATATCATGACCTCTACAGTGTTGTGACCAATACAATATTGTGGTCTCTACATTGCAGTGTGGTTACCAATACAATATAATTACCTCTACAATGACCTCTACAACTTGAAAGCTGCTGTTAAATGACAACAACACAAGACAGTCTGTCCTTACCATATGTTACATTCAACATGTAGATGATGTCACCTTTCTGTAGGTCAAGGCCCCTCACAACAGAATTAATGGCAGTGGTAACATTGATCATCAACACGAGATCAGTTGGATCACAACCTACAAAAGAATTTCATTTACAAAACACTGTCAGCCTACAATTCAGCATTCAATGTTGTTACATTCATAAATTCTTCAAAATTGTGGGATTTGTATTTGTTTACACACATTTCCATTTGGCTTCTCTTTGACATACATTTGTCTTTGTTGTTTGTTAATTTGTAATTTTAAAACCATTTTTTTAATTAGGTGAAAAAGTGAAGTAAAACATTGATTTAAAAACCAATGTCAATATTAACTAACTTACTTTATGCAAGAGATTTCATGGGACACATGCAATTAATATTGTACCCATCACTGAACTGGAAAAGGATCTGCTCAGATTAAGGACATCACATAACCTTCTACACTGTAGCCTTCTTGTGATACACACAAACTTCTATATTGTATGTAGTTCTGATGATTTTGATATTTTTTTTTTCACTTTCATCCTTAACAATTACCATTATGTACCGGGATTTCTATACTTGATAAACTCCCTGATGAATACTTCTATAGTATCTTTAAACAATCGAACATACACTTACATCTAAGGTTGTATGACTTTTACAATTCACAATTTGGTGAAAACCATAAAATGTATTGATATCTACCATAGAATAATTGTTAGGACAACTATATTATAATGTCTTCTACAGTGTAGCGACCTCTCCAATGTGGTAACATATAGAGTGCAGTGACCTCTCAAATGTAGTACCTGCTACAGTGTGCTGACCATTCTAGTGTGATGATCTCTACATTATAGTGACCTTGAATGTGTAATGACCTCTATGATGTAGGGAAAGCTACAAGGCAATGCTTCCTACATTATGGTGACCTCGAATGAGTAGTGACCTCTACCTAGTGCATAACTATATCAAATGTGATATTCTAATTCATCAATAAGTGACCCTATTGAGCTGTGTGATACCTACAGACAAACTTTGCCAGTCTTCTGGTAACATACACTAAATGAGGCAGTAGTTCCCTGTCATAAAACCTCAGTGGCTGTCTCTCCACATACATTTGCCACTCCTGTAAAAATAACACAAACTTCAGTGGCAACCTCTCAATATATCTTTACCTCTCCTGTAAAAACAACACAAACCTTAATGTCTGTCTCTCCACATATCTTAACTATTCCTGTAAAACAACACTAACCACAGTGGCTGTCACACAATATATTTTTACCACTTTTGTAAAAACAACACATACCTCAGTCGCTGTCACTCAACATATATTTGCCACTTTCATCATTGTCAATATTACAAAAAACAACATAAAACTCCAATAAAGTCTTTGCATATATCCTTCCACTCCTACAAATAAAATCAAAACAAACTAATTGTTTGTTACTCCATATAGTGTGGTCACTCCTACACAAATAACGAGAAACCTCAATGGCTGTCACTCCACATACTGTTGCCCTTTCCTACAACAACATAAAACCTCAATGATACCTGACCCCTAAACACTTTAAACATTTGCGAATCCATATGTACTCTAAGTAGCTGTCAATCTACAACTACCACTTCTTCACTCCCCCGTTACACATTTATCACATTTGTTAGCATTGTAAAGCTTTGTAATGCTACCTTTTCAATCTTGCCATGCACTTCTTGTGTCACACACAGGGAATTACTAGAATGGTTTTGGAAAGTAGAATCTATGATATTGAAGTGTAACATTTTAATCATGGTCAGATTGAAGAAAAATATGATTAGATTCTCCATAAAAAATCTGTTATGTTTGTGATGTTAATATGTTTATCTTTTCAATTCCTATGAATATCCCTCCCCTACCTGAGCAGATTTCATTGCCTCACGGAGCACACCACCAAAGGCACCATGGTTGATAAATGTACAGTCTTCCTGTGGACAAAGCATGACTAAACATTAAACATAAAACCAAACCTATATTAAAACATCAGTCAAATCATGAAAAACCAATTATGAAATATTACCTTTAAATCCTTTAAAATACTAACTATGGCAGCCCAAGACAAGAACAAGGGATTGATAACCCCAATTGAAATTTCTTGATTTTTTAATTGTAATTTCTCTTCTCCAACATCCATACACACAATCGAAATGGACATAGATAAATTCAAGGCAAAGATGTATTTTCGAATACTGATTTCATTAATATATAACCAAAACAGATTGGTTGTCATGTATACCTCTAGAAGGAAATGTTTGCGACGGCAGGAGTGTCCAGTTTCCAACTGACAGTCTGTGAATCTTGGAACAGGGATCGGGAAAGCAGGAGGCTGGTACTCTGCCTGGTAAACAAGAAATGGATGAGGAAACTATACAGGTCTATAATGACTTTTAGGCAGCAACATAAAAGAAATATGGAACGATGCATGTACTCAGCTGAAAATAAAAACATAACTTTGCCTGACAAACAAGTAATATGGTAAAAAAGATTATCTGGTACAAAAGAAGTTTTGAGACTTACTGTCACATATTCAGTTTATATCAAACTGGTACCTGAGGACAAGTTAGGAGTCTGGAGTTAAAGAGTAATAGCAACGAGTCTCGATGGTTGTTGAGAGTCATAAGTCATAAGGGAATGTACCAGAACAAGCTAAGAGTCTGGATAGAGAGCCAGAGGACAGGATAGGGTCTAGAGAGAAGGTCAGAAGACAAGTTAGGAATATGGAGGGAAGGTCAGAGCACAAGCTAAGAGTATGGAGGAAAGGCCAATTAATGGTCAAGTTTGGGGTCTAAAAGAAAGGTCAGACAACAATCCAGGAAGTCTTGAGGAAAATTTGGTGTGCATGGAGGGAAGGTCAGAGGGCAAGCTAGAAGTCTTGAGGCAAGAGCAAAGGACAGGCTTGGAGTCAGGAGGAAAAGTAAGATAACAAACAAGAAGTAAGGTGGGAAGGTCAGACAACAAGTCAGGAGTCAGGAAGGAAGGTCAAGGAACAATCTAGAAGTCTGGAGGGAAGGTCAAAGGGCAAAGCTAGAAGTCTAGTGGCAAGGTCAGAGAACAAGCTAGAAGTCTGGAGGGAAAAGTCAGAGGACAGGTTAGGAGACAGGAGGGAAGATCAAAGGAAAAACTAGGAGGCTGTGGGGAAAGTCAAAGAACAAGTTAGGAGTCTTGAAGCAAATCTGGAGGGAAGATCATTTAGACAAGCAAGGAGTGTGGAGGGAAGGTCAAAGAACTAGTGATAGGTCGAGTAGGAAGCCTGGGAAGAGAAGGTCAGCTCATTTGATTTTGTTGTGTTAACGTCTGAAAATAAAATGTTTCAAATATCCAGCTTTATCATTCATATAGAGCTAACACTTCTTTTATGGTTTGTTCTTAGTTTACATGTATTCTAATTATAGTAAAATATCATAAGATGAACATTTGCCTTGACAACTGGAGATATTGCAAAATATACACTTGTACATAAAGTTTAAAGCCTTCACACTTTCATTTAACACTTTATAACCATTTTAATAAAGTACAGCTTAAGCAAATAATAGCTACAGTATAAGTGAGAGTTACATTTTGTATATCTGAGTGAAATTTATGGTGTTACCTCTGGGAGACCTAACAGCTCCTGAACATTGGAAGCATGGAATGACCCAAAGTCCCGTTTACTGTTTTTCTGCATCTTTACCTAAATTAAAAAGAAAAAAAATGATTCTCCATAATAAATATTAATGAATTATTCTATTGAATTAACAGATCTTTGCAAGATCCCAGGGATGTTTACTTCTTTCTTGTCTATCCCCCACACACACACAAAGGCCCCACATCCTTCGCTAATCACTTCGGTTCTCAGAGAGACTAGGACGTTCTTAGTTTCGATTATTTAAAAGCATATAGAGTATTCATCGTCACATGTATGAAAACAACAGTCATGTGATGAAATTATTGCAAACAATATATCGTAATAAGTAAACCTGTCATCTACATTACCTTATTAAATCCCTGCAACACCAAATAGTTCACACGTATTTACATAATATTTACATAGTCACGTGTACCGCTTACTTTCATTTTCTGGTTGTGCAGATGTTAGTGATCAGTGACCTCCACTGACAACAAAGCGAAAGTAAGCTACACACGCGGTGGCACACGCCACCTATGCTAATTTATCGTACTTATGTTTACACAGGTAAGAGATACTCAGGTAGCACATTGTCTTGTAGATATCAGAATAGTGTATCATTTTAAAAGTAGCCTATCTCATATCTCTCAACAGGATGTAGTTATAACTAGATCCGGTTTGAAGTGTCGAGCACATTGTACTGGGTACTTGTTCATCCTATATTTACTTTCTCAGAACCGGATCTAGAACATCTGATTAACATATAAAGTGTAACGGATGTTTTTACGTTAGACAGTGGCGACTTGCAACAGAGAAACAGCGATTCGAACATAAGGGAAGACAGTTATAACTATTGGTAAGACAAAATGATACTTATTAAACTGCATGCTCGTTTATAATAGGTTCTACTAGATTATTTAATTACTTTAATGTACAGTGTCTATAATACATATACAATGTTTTGTATTTCTATCTTAGTATTCCTTACCACTATAGTCTTTGTTGTGTTTGTTTTACATATACAAGTACATGTATGTTACATTTATTTATGTTTATTTCATGTCTACAATTAGTTTACAATGTTTGAGAAGTTTTAGTATACAGGTGAACAAGTTCAACATGAAGTTCATTAAGTGTTCTAATTAATTATCAGACCATCGTATAAAAGTACCTGTGTGTCATATATATAGTACAGAATTTCTTATAAGCTATTATACTCAACACTCGTCAGAACCCATTTGGATTTCACCAGTTCAATTTGGTCACCTGTCAAAATCAAGGATATCGAGAGGATAGACGGTGTGCAGAAGAGGGTAACAAAGCAGATTCCTGGAATGAAAAACCAAACTTATTAGGAAAGAGTAAAAGCACTAGACTTGCCAATGCTCACATTTTGTTGGATAAGGGGAGATATGGTGGAGACATACAAGATAATGAGTGGTATACATGATAAAGTCACAAATAATATTTTCACACCATGGAATAAAGTCACAGAAAGAAGCAGCTCGAAAACATTTCAAACAAAATATACCCACAAATAGCCAAAACAAATCTTAGGAAGATCTTCTACCACAGATTATGGAAGGTGTGGAACAGATACAGAACCTGGTAGGTACAGGAAGCCTGGGTACAGAACCTGGTAGATACAGAGAGCCTGGTTACAGACCCAGCAATCTGTACAAATAGGACTGTGATGGTTCTATCTGGAAGTCAGTTGAACCAGAAAGCTGGGGTGTGTGTTACCAATGTATTTTGGAACTGTAGCTGTGGTACTTATACTTTACTGTTGGATTTGATACACTTTGAAGCTTTGTCAGCATGTTTTTTTTCAATCTACTCGCAGACCCACATTTATTTATGTAAGAAGTTGTATGCACCACCCATCATCAAGACATAATAGTAAGAATAAGACCAAACAAGGAGTCAGCAATCTATGCAGGGATCCAGCAGATAGAAAATCAGAAACATCAGGAAATGATGAGGAGAAGGCAGATATACTAGCAGAATTCTTCAGTAGTGTCCTTACGAAAGAACCACAAGACACAGTTTCGAAAGAGAACAGAAAATTTAACACGGAAAGAAGTAGAAATCACAGATTATAACATTATCAAAGCCTTAAATGCCCTGGAACCTGGTAAGTCACCAGGGATCAACAATATGCAGCCTAGAGTACTTGCGTGAGGAACTGTCCTAGCCACTAGGTATAATATTCAGGAAGTCATTAAAAGAGGGAATAGTACCCATAAAATGGAAAAAAGCAAGAATTACAGCCATCTACAAAAAGAGGAATAAAGCCTTAGCAAGAAATTACAGGCCTAACTTCAGCGGTTTGCAAGACTATGGAAAGAATATTATGGGATCAGATTATGGAACACCTCATAAGTAACAACTTAATCTCACCTAAACAGTATAAATTCATCCCAGGACGCTCAACTTGCCTGCAGTTACTTAAGGTTCTGGATGATTGGACAGAAGCTATGGACCAGGGATATGCAATCGATTGTAAGCACATGGCATAGGAGAAGAACTCACAAACTGGATAGAACACTACTTAGTGAGAGGAAACAGCAAGTGTCGGTAAATGGATCTGCCTCTAAATGGCATGAAGTACATTCAGGAATTCCACTGGGGTCCGTTCTGGGGCCGGATCTTTTCGTGATATTCAGCAATGATATATCGGAAATGGTGGATTCAAATGTATTCTTGTTTTCAGATGACACAAAAATATATAGAGTTAATATACGTATCTACAAATAGATGAATAGACTGTGTGTCTAGCTTTTACAATTTAAAAGATTACGAACCCACAATATTGGAAGAAGAATAATAATAATAAGAAACATAACAAAAACAATAGGTTTTTTCACCAGTTAGTGAAAAGCCCTAATAAGAGATAGGGATGGTAACGTCATACTACAGAATGACCTACGCAAACTAATGTATTGGAGTGAAACATGGTTACTGAAATTCCACCCTGAAAAGTGAAAGTTAATGCATATTGGGAAAAAGGGTGGAGAAGATGAATACCAGAATTCACTACAGGGCATAAATCTGGAGAATGTGGATCATGAAAAGGACATCGGAGTCAGAATCGACAGCCAGTCATGATACGGAGAATTTTCCAGCATTTAGACGAGTCATCCTTCCTCCCCCTATATAAAACATTAGTGAGAACATACCTTGATTATGCTAGCTCAGTGTGGTTTCGGTACAAATCATACCACATGAACCTCACAGAGGGAGTTCAAAGAAGGGCAAACTAGCAGTTACCAGGATACAATAACTTAACATACGAGGACCAATTACAGAAACTTAAGCAACCCACCCTGAAATATAGAAAAAGTCGAGGTGATATGATTGAAGTTTACAAGATCTTGAGCAGTATGGAATCTGGGAACTTCATCAAATTGGGAAATTGATAACGTTCAGAGAGCGCAAGGACGTGGGAACTCAAAAAAGATATATATGTGCAAAGATCCAGGCTAAACATCGTGAAACACAGCTTCAGTGTGAGGACCGCAAAACTATGGAACAGCCTACCAGAAAGAGTTGTGAATGCCAGTAGCATCAATGCCTTTAAGAATAGACTGGACAACATTTGAAATGTTCAAGAAGTATTGTATGACTTCAAGGTGGATTTTGTATTAGACACTACCGGTCATAGATATGATAACACTAATGAGTCCATAATAGGACTTTTAAGGACCTGTGTTGGAAAAAATATAAGCATATGCATAAACTATATAAGACGAGCAATAGATATTGATTAAAGACACTGGAATGATATATTCTTAGTCCAACAGACGAACATCATTGAATAATTACAGTGATACAAGCCTCATTATTATCACAGACATACAAACAATAGAACTTGAGCACATCTTATTTCACTTATTTGTATTTAAAAACCCCGACAGAATGAGTGTGTCCAGATCTGCCTGTAGAACCATGATGAAGGCAATACGCGTGGCACAGTTTGGGGGACCAGAGGTGATGAAGGTTGAAGCTAACCTGACCATACCTAAGCCATCTGAAAAACAGGTGAGTGCAATTAATAACATCAATAAAATTCTTAACAAGGTGTTGTATATCAGGCAGTCGAGATACTGGTAGATATGTTAAAAATGAAAACAGTAGATTTCTTCATTTACTGTTTTGATATTCCATCTTGTCTTCCTTATTTTCTCTGAAACTTAAACTGAAAAGTTATTGTTAAACCAGCTTTTGTTTTGTTGCACAGGTGCTTGTTTCAAAATGGATAGTATGGCTTCAGTTTTTCCAGTCTTGAAATTAACTCATTTTAAATAAATGTAACTTACTCCAGGGCTAATAGTATTGTAGCTTATCAACATAATATTACAATGAGTGATGTTCATGTTTAGTGACATTCAGGAGGTAATTGTTATCATGAAAGAAGCAATTTCAACAAAGATTTGGTCATCAATTTGTCAGCAGGAGACATCAAATATGGTGGGATTGATATATTCATGACAGTATGTATGGTACATCAACATGATCACAAAAATTTAATCTGGGAAGTGATGAGAAACATATGTACACTTGTATTTTTTTCCACGTTATTTTGACATTCTATCAGCTTTTTTTTTATATTACTCTCGAGTTCATTGACTCCAGACTATGTATAAAAGAATGATTCTGACTAACCTGTATTAGATGTCCTTTTACATCCAGATTGTTAAATTTTTATTCATTTAAATACAATTCAATTGTTTTGAAAGAAAATCACAAAAAAAAATTTGTCCTATGAAAATTAATAGCTGTAGAGTTAACAATTGTTTTTCATAGGCAAATAACACTTCTTACTAAAATTCTATAAGAAAAAGAGGTTTTTGGAATGTCAAAAGATAATAAAACTTGTTTTGTTTTCAGTAAACTACAATCATCATTTATATCCTGTGAGCTAGTCCACTGCATTAAAAAAGTTTTGATCTTAAAAGTTTACTTTTTGTAGATCCTTATAAAAGTGGCTGCCGCAGGGGTAAATCCTGTTGATACCTACATTCGGGCAGGGACCTATGCAAAAAAGCCTGCCTTACCTTACACGCCAGGATCTGATGTTGGTGGGGTTGTGGAGGATGTCGGGTCAGAGGTCACAAACTTTAAGGTAAAATTTTGATAATGATAAAGTATTTGTTGGTTGTTATTTTGGCGAAAGAGTTCTGGACATATAAAGCGGATAAGGCTTTCTTAACTGACTTATTTGTTTTATAGATTGTCAACTCGTAAGTAGACAAAAATTTCTTCGGACGTGGAAGTGAAGAAATTAATTTTGGGTATAGCATCTTTTCAAAACATGGTTTTGACAACAAAGCTACATAGTTTTCAGACTTGTGGATTTCAAATGTGTGTTTTATTTTAGACAGGTGACTATGTAGATAGTAGTCGAATTGGTGAGATATACACTAACTGATATTAGTCTATTCATTTATTTATCAGAAAGGTGACCGTGTGTTCACTGTCAGGACAGACACTGGAGGCTATGGTGAATACACGCTGAGCGACTCTTCTCTGACCGGTGTCCTGGATGACAAACTGTCTTTAGAGCAGGGTGCTGCCATTGGTGTGCCTTACTTCACAGCCTACAGAGCTGTTATTGTGATGTGAGTTCCTTAGATAAAATTCCTCTCTAGGATTGTGAGTTTCTGAACTGTTATAAAACCTTTAGAAGTTTGCATGACAAAAATTTCTAATGACTTCTACATCCCTTATGGAGGACCAGTTACAATGCATTTTAATTCTAACCGTGTCTGTCACCTTTATGAAATAAAGTAAAAAAAAATGTATCTTTAACTCTCGCAGTTACTTCTGTGATGCTATTCCCACCGTATCATACTTCCAAATGTAACCAAGTGTAATATAAATCAGCTACCGTGACCATTTTTGTGGAATTACAGGATGTCAAATGACTCCTATGTTGGTGTGATATTTTAACATTCTTTTTTTTTTTTCAGGGGGAAAGCCCAAAAAGGGGAGACCATTCTTGTTCATGGTGCAAGTGGGGCTGTAAGTGTTGTAGTATTTTGAGTAATGATAAAGGATTTGTGCAAATAAAACATCAGGATTTCAAACTGGATATATGATAAAATGTGCACTGGATATTTCATAGTCCTTATCAGACAATTAGATTTTATATCCTTGTATGTTTGTTGTTCTCTAGGTAGGACTTGCATGTGTTCAAATTGCCAAGGCACATGGCCTTCGTGTAATAGGGACAGCAGGGACTCCGGAAGGACTTGATCTTGTCTCTTCCATTGGTGCTGATGTTGTTGTGAACCACAGGGGAGACAACTACACACAAACCATCACTGTAAGTATCTCTGTCAAAGATTAAGAAACACCAGCTCTACTGATGTGATTCTCCTTCCATGGTAGTCTAATTTTTTAATCATTGTGATGTCAGCCTTTGACATTTTTAAATGATGTCATGTTGACTGAGTTAACCATGAGAGTACAATTATTTTACATGGTAAGACTACACAATGTACAGCATTTAAATACAGAAGTAAATGATTTTGTGAAACAAGTTAATTATCCTCTAAAACCTAAAAGTACCAAGATATCAAGATCTGTAATATTATTGGATATTGAAGAATCAAAGATGTCTGTTGAAGACTTTAAAAAATCAAATGAAAATAACTTGAAACAGAAGTATCATGTGAGCGCCATCAAACTGTTGTTGTTAGACAGGTCAATCACCTACGCTGTAAAACCTGTTTACTTTGACCCGTGTTACAGTCAGCTTTCTGACCTGCCATAATTTGTTCTCTTTAGATGTAGCAGAGTATGTATTGTGATCCTAGGTATATAGGTATATCTGTTTATCTTCATGTTTTCCTCATGGGTGTGTAAATATGGCTAAAATGGAAGTGCTTTGCACTTTGTAGTGTGTGCAGCAAGTCTTCAGAGGTAAGTTATAATATGAATGAATTACTTCTCATATTTCAATGTTTTCTTATGGATGTACTGTAATTTACTAACACACAATACAATACTGTGAAAAAGTGATAGATGTAGAACCCTGTATGACCTTTACTTCAACAACAGGGTCAACTACAGGAAGTATAAGGTTGAAGGTAAGAGGTCAGCTGAAAGATATATTCTGTAGTACTTCCTAGTTGTCTAAACAGTCAGTCTATGTGTATATGAAACCTGATTGTATTTCTTACTGCTAACTGTAAAAGAGATGCCAAGATATTTTGAGAGAAGAAACAGAATACCATGTGGATATGTGCCATACAATAACCAGAAATAGGAAATTCAAATATCACACATATCAGAGAGGCGAAGAATTACTATGGAGTTATTGTCAATTTCAACCTAATTAGAAATGGATTTGATGACTATGAAGATAAATATTAGGATGCCTAAAGCTTGACACCTCAATCCATTGGAGGACATAGGTGTGGGAACCTGGTACAGTGTACATTATCTGTGTCAAGTATATACATAGACTATTAACATCGGAAACATCATAGATATACATGATAATCAGGAACTATGATAAACATCACTATTGTGACTGACATACTGTGAGATCTAGGAGGACCATTTTACAGACACATGAGAAACACCAATGCAATACTAGCTCTGCCATCAGGTGACCTGATCTCCAGGAAACTCCCGTCTTAAAGGTCATATGACAGCTTGATATCTAATGTCCAGCTGACAGACTTTATCACTGGCAGTCTCAGAGGCTCATTGTAAAGAACTTGTTTCTCTTTTAATTCCTCTAAATTGATAGTAAGTAAAAAAAACCTCCAGATTGATAGGCCTTTTTCTGTCCAAACCTTACATTTATGGTCTTAACAGTCTTGCCAGTTGTTTTCACTAGCGCTGTCACAAAGTGAGAAACTTTATCATGATAGCTCTGTCTGTGTTTATACTATTAAAAAGTCTGCCACATACAAAATTACTGTGTGTCCTTTAAAGGTTATGTGTGCAATCTAGGGTTTTTTCTTTGGACCCTGATACTTGTCTGTGTGTGTGCCTCTCTGAAACATATCTGTTTTCACTTCATAACTTTTTGACCAGTCATAGAAATGGAATGACACTTCATATGGTGAAAAAACACTAACTGGTATTCAAAGGTGTGTCACATGCCAAAAAATCTTGTTTGCACTCCAAAGGTCAAGTTCTCAATAACTGTTTTTCATGGGACCCCTATAGTGAAGCTGAGAAAGTTGTGTCTGTTTGATTACTTAGTAACCAGGAGAGGAACTTTTAAATGCTAGAATGTGAGTTGCAAACTTAACAGAAGTTTTGTCCTTCAATAGGTCAAAGTCTAAAGGCTTCTCTAAGTGTATGATGAACTACAAAAATAATGTGTCTGCACCATAACTTTGCAATCAGTTAAGTCTTACCATAACCCAAGCTAAGCATGTCTTGTACCTGTTTAGTTACCTAATGTAGATCAAGTTGACTCAATACCAAAATACAAAATGTCCACTGTTCCTGTAATCTTTCTGCAGGATGATTGTGAGAAAAATAACAGTAAAATGTCCAGACAAATGGGGGCCTTTTGTATGCTCTTAATCTCTATATTGCTAGCCCACCATCAGCAGATGGTGGGCTATTTAAATCAACATACATCCATGAATGACGTCTGTCAGTCATCCATCTGTTCATTTCTCCATAAACAATTTTTGTCAGTCTGATAAAAAATCCTAAATTGGCTGACAGGTGGCCATCTTGGATTTTGATTTTGCTAGTTTGTTATCTCTATTTCTTGAGAAATACTGAATGGAGCACCAAACGGATCTCTCTCAAATTTCCTATGTACGTTCCCCTAGTTTTTGCCCATTTGATTTTGAGTCTGATCTGAAAAACAAAATTGCCTACAGGCAGCCATCTTGGATGCTTACCTTTTTTTTTTTTATTTTTTTCATGTTAGTTATTGCTATTTCTTGAAAAATACTGTATAAATCTTTCTCAAATTTCTTGTATAGGTTCCTCTTGGTCCCGAATTGTACTTATCTGATTTTGGGACTGATCGAAAAAGAAATGAAATAGCTGACTGGCAGCCCTCAATGATTTTGTCTAGTAAAGATTGTAATTCCTATTTCTTGAGAACTAGTGAATGGATCCCTATCAAATTTCATACATGTGTTCCCTTTGATCTCTACTCGTGCCTCTTGGATTTTACGACTGATCAGAAAAATAAAAACGGCCTTCGTTGCTATTTTTGAAAAGGAATGTTCAAATTTCTTATCAATAAGAGCAAAAATAGAAAAGAGAAGAGAAAAGAGGGGAAAAGATCCAACTTTCAAAGAGCAAATATAGATCAAACAATAGTGGACGCCAAGATCCATCTGGGATCTCGTTAGTGATACATTGTAATTGTTTTATAGGTTATAATTACTACCAAAGGTAAGGTCATAGAAGAGAAATTATCATAAACATGACATGGATATTTTAATGTCTCGATAGGTGAATGTGATATATATTAAATCAAAATCAAAGCTGAGATGTAAGTGCATGAATTGTTTTATGATAGGCTTGTTTCATTATCATTGGACAAAATTCCAATTTTTTGAAAATATTAACTTTGTACAAAGTATATAAGATACAAGTATGATTTATAGTCACTTGTCTATCAAGGCTCATTTGACGGAAATTTAATGAGATTGTGATAGGTATTGTTTTTTCACAATTACATGTTAAGTTTGGAATTAGATAATTAAGTTCTATACATAGCATTACCTCAGGTTTGTGGTCATACAAATTTTGTAAGTATCATTTCTTCATATCCACTTTTGATTAAACCAATAGTAAGTTTATCTTAATATGACATGTAAAACTACACAACCAAGGACACATAATACTGGATTTTTTCTTGTGTTGCTTCAGATTTATAAAATATTATTTGTCGATCTATGTTCTTACACATATATATACATATTTTTAATTTTTCAAACAATTTGATTGCTTTTGAATATGACTACTGTACATGTAGTTCATTAGAGACGTAACTATCTTGCGCTAATATAACGTGATATATTACGCTTAGTACAAAAAACCAAAAAGGAAGTCAAGGGACACCATGGGGAGGGTAAGTCAATCAATTTTCATATCTGAGTTCAGTATAAACGTAGATCCCATGGCAGCGGACCTCCCGACCTATTTAGCGTTACGACTTGATTTTATACCATTTATTTACCAGCAAGGTGGCAGTGTGGTCTACTAAAATTACCATATTTTGTTTTGAAGTTCTAAAATCTTGAATTCTGGTGTGTTGAATATATTCAATATTTCAATTTGGTATGATATTAGTATTTGAAATATTATGATAAAGTTATATTTGAAATATATTACTTAAGAACACCGTAGAAACAAGTTTGATTGTTATATTGTATATCGATTTGGTTAGGACGACCCAATTAAAGGGAAATAACTCTTACAGTCGTGATCCACGGAGAACGAACATGAGTAGAAAGCTGAATAATTTTCATGCTTACTCTTGATCATAGCACATACTTAGATATATAGATATCGATATATAAGGCCATAGCTGGATCCAGAGGATGCAGTCCTTTTAAAATTTGTCGGGTGGCTATATATCTGCGAGAATAATTGATATTTTAACGTGTAAGCTTAAAATGATATAGACTCTATATTATATTATCAGTGCCTTAAAATACTTATAATTATAAGCTCTGTTTTGGCGAGGGTGAAGGAGAACAAAAGTGGCGAGCTAACTGACCATGTATTCTATTCATCCTGCAACATTGAATGAAAATCAGGCTATCAAAACTTCATTAGTTTCTTGTTAAATCAGTGTTTGCTGGACCTTAACGTTTTGACGCTGAATTTTGCCTACTAACATAATATCTATGTTTTATCTTTCAATTGAGTGGGCTAAACTTACCTGATGGACGAATACTGGCCAAGACCAAGTTATGACCTGACGAATTCGGAAATATGTGTCAAAATTTCCCTACATGGTTACGTTGACATATGTTGTGCAGACACACGTGCACGGTCATAGACTCGAAAGTACATAGAATACGGTACCCATTTGAGACGAGAGCACGTCAGCCTGACAGGGATATCAATGTATACATGTATATCCGAATTCGTCATGTCATAAATTGTCAATTGGTGAACTTCATACTTGGCCAATCTCGTTCATCAAGCTTGCGCTCATTGGAATAATACTAAAACATTTCTCTTAAAGGTACGTGTGCAGTGATATATCGCTATAATATGAACCTAAGATATTGGTTTGGAATATTCGTGCCAACTAATTGCTCCGTGCGGAAATAAAGTTCCAAAATTCAAAGAATATAACAACGATTATGCGATTTTCCATCAGTGAAATAATGATAAAGTATATGTACCATAATATGGGAATTCGAGCCAAATCTCTGCAATCTATAGTCCGTGATACTGGTAAATGTTTTACCCAAAATTTACTTGATGCTAGAAAATAAGTCATGAATGACCCTTTAACGTTGACCTCCGATTACCTAGAACTTGATACTGACCAAATTTATTTGTGGTTCTTTGAAATACGACATTGATCCGGAACGAAACATTCAAATGGGCAACCTCATTCCACCTCTTAAAATGGATGGGACATGAAAACACGCCAAAAAACTTCTGTAAAACAATCGTATTCTATCTCTTCCTGTGTATACTGTGTATTTCCCCTTCTTGAAAACCACTGCCATTATGTCCCCCTCTTGTGAACGCCGCCTGTATGTTTTCCCTTCTAAACAACACCGCCTTTATGTCCCCTTCTGTGAAAACAGACGTTATGCCTGCCCCCTCCCCCCTCTTGTAAACACCAATTGTATGTCCCACCCTGTTATCATCTCTTTTTTTGTCCAATTCTGTAAAAACCGTCTGTATATCTCCTTCTGTAAAAACCGACTGTATGTCCCATTCTGTAAACACCGACAGTATGTTTCCTTCTGTAAAAATCGACTGTATGTCCCCCTGTTAACACCATCTGTATGTTCCCACCTGTAAGAACTGCCTGTATGTCCCACTCCCTGAAACCGTCTATATGTCCCCCTCCGTAAACACCAACAGTATGCCCCATTCTGTAAACACCATCTGTTTGTCTCCACATGTAAAAATCATCAGTATGTCCGCCTCAGTAAACACCATCTGTATGTCCTATTTTGTAAACACCATCTATCTGTATGTCCTATTTTGTAAACACCATCTGTATGTCCTATTTTGTAAACACCATCTGTATGTCCTATTTTGTAAACACCATCTGTATGTCCTACTTTGTAAACACCATCTGTATGTCCTATTTTGTAAACACCATCTGTATGTCCTATTTTGTAAACACCATCTGTATGTCCTATTTTGTAAACACCATCTGTATGTCCTATTTTGTAAACACCATCTGTATGTCCTATTTTGTAAACACCATCTGTATGTCCGCCTCGGTAAACAACGCCTGTATGTCCTACTTTGTAAACACGTTGCGACTGATGGATTATATTCTGTGAAATCCAAACTACCATGTTGTTTTTCCACCATATATACACGTTAAACATTTCAGGAAGCCTGTGGTTTTTCTGGACCAAACCTCATCATATATACACGTTAAACATTTCAGGAAGCCTGTGGTGGTTCTGGACCAAACCTCATCATATATACACGTTAAACATTTCAGGAAGCCTGTGGTGGTTCTGGACCAAACCTCATAATTGAAATGCTGGCAAATGTCAACTTGGAAAAGGATCTTCAGATGGCAACTCAAAGAGGACGTGTCATTGTAAGTTTTTTTTTTTAAAAAAAAAATATCACTTGTTCTATATCACCAAGGGTTTTTACTATCTATTTTGCAGGTTTTTATCTTAATAGTCCTACAAAATTAAAACGCACAGTAATATATACACCTAAAATTTACTAGAACTTGAAAAGGAAAGTAAAGTGACACTGCAAATAAAACACGACCTTAGTAATTATTTGCTCTGCCAGATTGTTGGTTGTAGAGGGACTGTAGAGATTTCCCCAAGGCTGACCATGGGTAAGGAACTGACCGTCCAGGGAGTCATGCTGATGGGATCTACAGCTGTAAGTATCTAAAATATCTTCCTTTTTTATTTATGTACGCATTAAACAGTGAGCATTGTCCAGAAGATTATTTCATTAGTGAATAAATGTTTTTACATTGTAAACATGCAGCATATAGAACATGATTATAGACAATGTCAACCGTCTAGAGGAAAATAGAGCCAAAATCCGAGTACAAAAAAAAATGATTATTTCATTTGTGTATTTGTTAACAGGAAGAATGGAAACAGATGCATGCTGGGATTAAAGATGGAATGACGGAAGGTTGGCTGAAACCTCACATAGGTCATGCTTATTCTTTAGACGAAGCGGCTCAAGCCCACAATGACATCATCAATACTAAGGGAGCAACAGGAAAACTTATCTTAAAATTGTAAAATTGGATTTGATTTTACTGTTTGTCGAAGATAAGTTTTAACGCCACTTCTTTGATGCAGCGAAATACATGGTAGAATATATTGCATATCTAGTCTATACTTCATACACGTGTGCGAGCGATTGGTAACCTCTGTAAGCCCATTTAAGCCCGATTAATCCCCTAGAGAACTTAGGGGAGACATACGGAAGCCATAGTATGGAGTCCTTGTGGACACAGTTTAGCTGTGGTCGAGCCTTGCTGGGCGTCAGTGTGAGCTTAGTTAGATCGTTGGTGAATATGATAGCTAATTAGTTGTGGACTCTGATGAGGCATATGTTTGTTAAAAATCACAATCAGATGAACTACTTACTATGTAATCATAATTTTGTGCTGCCTCAGAATTATTCGAATAGAATATTATTCAGACTCAATACTTGGTATTCTGTCAATTGTTGACATACGAATGTAACCTTGTTGACATATCCGAACGATTTTTTTAATACTAATCAGAATTTGACGTGTCTTGCCATCATATTATCATATTACACAAGACATTAAATTTATCTTAATCACATCATAGTGGTTAATACTGTATGAATTGATTAGTGGTCACAAAAAATTGTGGTATGTCGATTAATACCCATTGGAATGCATTCTAGTTGTGTTATACACTAGTTGTTTGTATTGCTGTCAATCAGAATGGTCAAAGGTGATTCCATAATGATGTTGTTTCCGAAATCAATTCATGTATTGCTACTCATTACAATAAAATCAGCAAAGAAAGAACGATCTATTTTAATTCATACGCAAATGAATACAGAGCAAAGCATTAATAAAAGAAAGATTTACTGGGATACTCATGAAGAAGTACAATGATAATAACATCAGGCTCCTGGACCATGAAAGAATCTGTCTTATGTTTTGATTTAACCAGTCACAAATTACGTCACAAAATTATCATCTGTGATTGGCAAATCTGAAACTCTAGCCTGACACTGTTTCACAATACTGAAGCCATGTGTTCCGAAAGGTTTCATCGACGACACCCGACAGTAGATGTTGTCAGTCAGTAAATTAATGGGTACTGTTTATTACATCATGGATTTTAAATTTCCACTCGCTTGCCATCCGGATATCACAATTTCTGAGACATACATAATCGTTTATTACGTCTTTAAGACTTTATTAAATCTAACCAGTCTTTCTAAATGTCTATACCAGAGTTTGATTTACTTATGATCAATAATTTATCATCAGTCGTTCCGGTGCGATGTAAACAGGAAAATCCTAGTCCTCGTGTTTAAGTGTCTGTCACTGAAGTGAAGACGTCTCGACTTATGTGTAGCAAAATAGATTTTATTATCACAGAGCTTCTGGGCTCATTTTAAGCCTGTACCTTGGGTTTTTTCTGGAGAAAATTCGTCGTTTTTGACCCATTCCCTTAACATTTAATATTAGAATATTTGAAATTGATCACGTTGTTTGTGGTCTAACTTTATCCAAGTTTGTAGTATTATTTTTACTTTATTCTATTAAACCTTCAAATTTCATTACTGCTGTCAATTTAGAGTTGACTATTTGTCTGCTTTATGCTTGTACTACATTTAAAGTATATCGTAATTTTGAGTCTCTGAACTGACAATTTTGTTTGACGCACATAGATTCCAGTAATAAGGCATACATAATTCTTATCAAAACAAAGTAAGTACAATTTTATATCAAAGCACAATTGTTGGTAAATAGAAGAATGTATAATGACATATTAAACCAATTTCAACCCGCAACAAATACATGAAGTTACTGACAAAACTTCAAAACCATGGTTTTGTTTTATCATTAGAATTCAGTTCGAGATACTGAATATAAAACCAATATACATATAAATTATACTTCATAAAAATAGTTCATTATGTGTTGTAAATATTGTATATCATTATAAAAATATTGATGAAAATAGCAGAATGATATTTTCACTTCCGTCATATATATGGTAGCATGTTTCTGCCATCCAATTATTTACAGTCGCATTAACGTTACATGACTTAAGAAACTGAATTATTGCCAAACGAATGGAATGTTTGGCCAAAAGTATGCCCACGTGTCGATATACTTATCATGAAGTGTCGTTTTAAATTATCACGATGTTGACCAAATAATTTAACTTTAATTAATAATCATCTTGTAATAATTATCAGAGAAAATCGTGTTACGAAAGTCAACGTAACATAACTGAGATATATACAACCATACACAACCAGCTAATATTCATATCAAGCTACTTGGGATTTCTTTCACACTGTAAAAATATTGAATTCATGTATATTTGAATTTCTTTCATTCAAGTGATATTTACTCCTAACCTTGAAATGTTCCCCTCTAAACAACATACAGGACAATGAACGCAGAATCTATACCTAGACCTATTGCACTGTTTATTGATGCAAATATCATTTTATTCGTTCAAGCAAGAAATTTAGATAGGCTTATCCACAGGTTTGAAAAACACCGCGTTAAAAGCATTGTCATACTAACGAATCCAATGTACTATGAGTATAGTGGAAAGTTTGGAGCTTCATATCAGTGTGCCAATATATTGATATCACACATAACTTACATTGGCTTGTTTGCTACCAGTGGGACATCCTCAGTACCAGACTGAGACCGATATCTCACCTGTTGAGCATCGGCTGAGGTAGGGTGAGATAACACACCCTGCTCAGGTGGCCCCAGGTGGCATTGCCCACGAGCATAGTGGTCATGTATGGAATGCCACAGATAAATGAACGAAAATAAGCATATTCAAACAGACATAACCCGCAACAAATATGTGTAAATTTAAACAACTATAAAACTGCGATTTTGTCGTTTATTACAATCCTGCTCGTGGGATCCAGTATAAAATAAACATTCAAAATAGTTATAGATATTATAATGAATGCCAATAAATCATATATTCTAAATATTTTAAACTATGTTGTAAATAATGTATTTCGATATAAAAATATAAATGAAAATTAGATAGAAAAGATAGATATACATTTCTTTCAACTGATGTTTTCACATGTTGAGTGCTAATAATCTTTGAAGTGTATATTCTGAACCACATACACGACAGTGGACCCATAATCTATACCTAGGCATATTGCACCGTTCATTGATGTATACACGATTTTATTCGTTCCCGTTCCAAGTACGGAACCATGTCGAAATATTCAATCATCTTCGATATATTACATCAAATCTAATACATTATGACTACAGTGGTCGTTATGGAGTTTTACAGCGATGGCAATATAGGTGTGCCGATATAATGCTATCATATCACACACGACTGACATTGGCTAGTTTACCATCAGTGGAACAGCCTCGGTACCAGGCTGAGGCCGGTATCTCACCTGTTGAGCATTGGCCGGGGAAGTGGGAGATATTACCACACCACCTGACATATGCGTTTGTCCCTGTACTCCCGGCCCCGGAGAAATGTATGGTGGAGGGCCACCCTGCTCTGATGGTCCTTGTAGACAAGGACTGTATTGCCCACGAGTAGAGCGATCATGTGTGGAATGCCACAGATAAATGATCACGTCCCGCACCAGATGTTCAGAAGATGCCTCTCCAATAGCTTTTAATATGGACACACCATCCTCTGTTATTTCTGATCCCACAAATCTCCCAATGTCGTTGTCGGATGGAGAAGGACCAACCTCCACAGAAAGGTGAAGGTACCGCTTAACATACCTGTAGAAGAACAAAGAATAAATAATGTGCGGTTGTTCACCAGGAATAATCAACAATACAAATGTTTATACCTTTATAGAACAATCCAGCAGATAACCAAAAAAACAACAAAAAAAACAAAAAAACAGAAAAATTATAAAAACAAAAAGTGGTCTTATTCAGAATAGAAAATAAGTAAACCATGGACAGCCAGAGCATTTAAAGTAATTCCTTTCGTGAAGGATTAGCTTATTCATTATTGGATAAAAATAATAGTAAAATCACTACCAACTTCGAAAACAAACTCTGAATAAATACACGTGAATTTGTGTCATGATCGAAGTGAATTGTGGATAGATTCCAAATGAAGAACTGACTTACCGTCTTCTAAAGACTGGCACTAAGACTGTTAAGAGTTGTACCACACCACTGATTGTGGTTATGACTGATACCGCCACAAACCACAGCCACAGGAAACAAAATACCATCTCATAGTACAAAATGTTGTTAACGACACACTGCACAGTCCAAACTTGTACATTTTGTAATTTTCTTATTTGGAAAACACAAAGCACTATACGATGGAATAGTGGATCACTGAATCGCCATTCAAGTGTATTGTTAGTAACAATATCAGTAAAAATTTGCATTCCAAAGGAAGAATGGTTTTCAGCTTTCAGAATGCCGTCCATGATTGATAATTGTGTAATGATATTGATGAAGTACAAAAATTTTGTGAACAAAAAAAGCAGCGTAAGCCACCCCCAAGGACAACCCTTCATCACTGTAGAGTCTATCCAGCTCTTTACGTAGCGTCCCACTTGTCTTCCCATTTGGGCTCGGTCGACCATATTTAGAGATTCATACCCATCAGTTAGTCCTAGTATTTTTGTAAATCTGAAACCAACAAGGCCTTGTCCCACTGATAGGACAATATCAGGAAGCTTGAACATCAATGCTTGTGCCAGGAGAATCAATGGAAGCCACCGCCATTTAATTTTAATCGGTGTATCACGTCTCGAACTTTCTGCATTTCTCGGGATATCCTCAGTTAGAGGTAAGTAATGGACGTCAGAGACGCTGCATATTTTATTAGCATATAAATGCATCGGTTGTGTAAACTCGGATGGAGTCCAGCAGTCTACAGTGTTGTTAGATGTCTGGATGTAAAACGTCAATACCGCAAACAGGGCAAGAATCCCAACTGTCCATGTGCTGTTGAGTCTTCCGCACTGGTCATTTAGACTGAGATTGGACTGGGTGAGATGCCGTACAAACAGTCTCCAAACCATGATGTCCTTTGTCTATGAATCTATGAAAGAAAATATTGCACTGCTGATGATTTTAGAATTTTCGTGCTGAAAGATGAGACTGGAAAAGTGTATTTTCTTACAAGCGTCACATTTTATGAATATTCATTATCATCTGTGGATAAACATAAAATTATTGATTTACTCTTTGCCCTAAAATGGATACCTTTTCCCGGATAATGGTATTGTTGGTTTCATTCACATTTAAATATATGACCATTCACAAAACACGTAACTCCATAACCATATTACATCAGAACGTGACCTCCTCTCTTTTGCCTTCAGGCTAAACAGAAACACATTATCCTGTTATCACGAAAACTGTCATTATTAATTAATTTTCTGTCAACTGAATTCCAAGTAAGTAGCTTCATTAAGTTTAATCTTTAAATATTCTTTAATGTACACAGTCAGATGTATAATCAGCTAAATTCTCTGTTCCACTGTCTAATAATTGGTCTCTTAATTCATAAGATAATATTCGGTCTCTAATTAATGACAAATAATGAAATACTCACCAAGACGGTTTTGAGGTAAAAGTGCTTCAATATGCCTGTTGTCTATATTACAATATGTCTAGGTTACAATAACAACTTCCCTTATAATGACGTAAATTGGCAATATCAACCCTGGTATTTGCAATACACATTATGACTGAATTATTTGTAATATCCGCTTTGGGATTGCCACTCGATATAAAACATTGTAAAAATCACGTAATGCTTTTAAGTACTTGATGATAAGTATACTTACAGGTAGTCCGTGTGTCAGTTTTATATTTCGTTGATATTATCTAGATGCTTGTTTTAAAGTCTAACATACAGTGTACTAGCCTACTTTAGAGATCTGGTTTACCAGTGTATGGTAACTTGATATTATGTTGATCTTTCAGAGTATTTTTGAGGGTCATGATAGGGAAAAAAAGAGTCAATGTACCTTGTTTATATACACATGTTGTGCTCGACCGGTCACAGTACTGGATATCTCAGTGTACCGGAAATTATCACGGATTAAGAACGACAACTCAAAAGAGAAATTGCCAATTTGTTGATAAATTTCTATCAGGGTTGTCGTTCTTGTATCTATAGTGTCTATTACTTAGATTTAAAGGTGATTTTCACGGGCATGTCCTCCGTATTATCTTGGAGGTTGTAGGTGAAAGACACTGTTGGACTTTCACACCTTGGGGTTTGCCATAGTCTTTACACAATGTTTTAATCACATATACTAGTGAACCTGACTTTTAAATAAACTAAGACACAGATTTCTTACTTCAAAAACATTGTTACATGCCTCTGTATTAAGCATCGTCCTAGAAAGACGAAATATTTGCATAATGCAAAAAAATCACGTAATGCATAATGCAAATATTTTCACTGTTTGGCACTAATATATCTTATTCTAACTATGTATCTAAAGTTGCTATTCATTTATATGGCTTTTGTATATTTTTTAAACAATCCTAGCAATTGTTAAGAATGTCAAGGACGAAGAGCAATTATTTAGCAGTGCAATTCTTTTTGAATTCCTATTACTGAAAAAGTCAGTCTTACAGTTTTGAGAAAAAAACTATTTCTGAAGTTTGTGAGTCATACTGTTGTTGTAAGGAGATATCGTATTCAACACCAAGCTGCTTACTATCAGAATAAAACGATGTTCTTCCCTTCTGTCTCCAGCGGTGTTGGTTATAATCTTCTCTAATCTTTCGTTTTCCGTTTGATGAACGTTATCAACGGCAGTGTCTCTGTATACTAGTTCTGATATTATCATCGTCATATGTGCAGTTAATAAATGAATAGGTATTAACAATTGCGAAACATTCTATCACCTTACCTTAATTACTCTTGTTGGCACGGAGAGATGCGCGTGGGGGATCTTGCTGTGCGAGAAAACCGGACGACCCGGGCAAAAACCATACGGTCAGGCAGGTGGCCCCATACCTTTATACGTCTGAACTGGGAATCGAACCCCAGACGCCTAAGTGAAAAGCGAGTACTTTACCACTGCGCCACCCATATGTGCAGTTTGCTAAGGTTCCAAAGACCTAATATGAGTTTAAAATAATGTTTCTTGTTGAGTATAGACTATCAAAGAAGTTATTGATAAAGAATCACTTCAACAGAAATAACAACACAATCAGTGTATTTGCAAGCGATAACCGATTATCATAGTGTCATCTATCTCCAGTTTAGAAACTGTATTGTGTTTTCAAAGGTAATTTAGTAATTGTTGTCTAGTTCTACATTCACAAAAATAAGATTTTCTGCATATAAAATACATTTACCGTTTTTATATGTTTGCTTTCACAGACAGTTTGATGCCATGGTGGAATAAATGCACTTGATTTCTTAATAATTTGTTGACTACAACGTAAACAGATAGAGAAATTATCAATGAAATGTTTTATTAGTCGAATTTAATACAATCAACGAAGCATATTTACAAATAAATCGGACATTTACCACATACATGTTGCAAATTTTAGACAGTTTGAATCTCAGATTTCCCATCGAAAGACATATACACAAATGGCGTATTTAGGATTGCGACATGCAGTTTACACCTTTATACTTAAACATGGAAATGGAGATCAATACTAATTTAAAGTAACTATAGAAAAAACTGGATTTTTTCATTGCTTCAACATCCATGTATTTGAGAAATAATGTAATGAAAATACCATGCATCATTATATCATGATGAAAATTTAACGGTCGTCATGGTGATCTCAGTGAGATATGTTCTATTTTTGTGCGATATGAAGCTTGGCGTGTTTAAAGCTCGTTAGTTTGCCTGTTTGTTTCGCTGTTGTATACCTTGTTCTCATTTCAGAACGTGAAATTACTTACTTGGAAGTTTACATAGCGGCTGTCGTCGTTGAAGCAGAAGACGCGTATTCTTCCTGAATACATGCTCTTACTCTTCTTGTACTTTTTCAGGAGTATCCGTATAAATCTTTCTTTGCTTCACATTTTGTATTAGTTTTATTATATTATGATTCATTGACAATAAATATAATTGATATTTACAGATATGCATACTGCTATAAGTATGTAAAAAGACAAAGCGAAAAACGACAAACAGACAGACAGCATACTAGGTCAATGACAAGAATGATGTAGGCCTAAGTCTGTTATATACAAAAATGGAATTTTTGGCCGCCTTTTTCTGAGTAAACAAATCAGGTAATTAATGAAATAACAATCAAAATTGAAGTAAAGGAAAAAACTATTTTCAATGTATGTATTAGAATATGAATAAATGAGTACTTTTTGATATAGTTAACAAACCTCGTATTTGAGTGTTTTGTTTTTATATCTTCAAGATGAGAATTTCATGTGCTTTTAGCTCAAATTTATATGATTCCTCAGACTGTTCAAAATAGTTCTGAACATTTATTTTAGCATGTGTATTGCTTTATGATAAGTAATATCAGGTTATCTAAATCGCATTTCAGGTGTTTATCTATTAGTTTACCAAATATAAATACATGTTTATCAAATCTTAAACCTGGGTTTTTAATATTAATTCTTAGATTTTCAATTAGATACATTTTCACAGTCCAATAAAATATGAGTTATTGTTTCAGGGTTTGTTTTGCAAAAGCTACAGAGATTATCATTTCATGTGCCGATTTTAAATTTTAAAAATTGTCATAAGAACTCTGTGGTTTATTCTATATTGGAGTCATTGTAGTTTTGTGTTTGTGAAGTTATTGAATGGTGATGCATATATTTTTTCCATGTTTCCTCATTTAAATTAAAAATTTAATTCCATTTTCTCGCTGCAGTAGATTTGACTTTATTTCTATATAACACTGTGACTGTATACTTTTGTGTCCCTTTTAATTTCTAATAATTAATTTGAAATTTATTGATGTGGAAATAAAATGTTCTCTTTTGAATCAAATGTTTGTTGGTTTTTGCGTATATATTGATGAACAGCCATTTTTTTTTTTAGACTTTGACAATATAAGTAAAGTTGTAGATAAAATGTACTCCCTTTTTGTACCAAGATTTATAAAAGATAACTTTATGATCAATTTTTATTTCTCTGTTATAGCATAATGGATTTTAAAAAATGTTTGTTTTGTATATATTACTTGCAATTATAGCTTTGAACAATGTTCCCAAGACTTACCTCTAAGATAGGTTTTACTGTTTCTTGACACTTTTTTCAATTCCAATATTAGCGAGAATGTATTTATCAAAGTAGGATCCAATAATAACACCTCAATTTCCTAATTTACTGTATATTCGTCGAATCCAAATGGTTTTAAGACATGTTATGAAAGATTTAAAATGTATCAGTTTAAGACCCCCTCTAAATATTTTTCAGTAAATATATCCCATTTGATGTGATCAGGTTTACCATTCCACAGGTAGCTGTATAATAACGTATCTTTTTTTTTCAGATAGAAGTCATCAAGATAAGGAAGTGATAGAAACAAATGATTATACTGTATATTATTAAGGTTTTGATAACAGTTTATTTTTTTGTCAATAGGTGTAAGTAATTTTCTATTCCAAGCAGATATTAAAGAATTAAGTTTAACGATTTTTTTTTATCAAATTTTAGGTTAATTACTGTATGCCAAACCATGTAAAATGTGTAAACCCTAATTTCAAATCAAAATGAGTATTTGAACTGTATTTTAAACTGCCAATCCAAGCTACCTGAGTCTTAGATATATTCATTTTTAGACCAGAAATAGTTGCAAAGTAGATAAGATTACGTAGTGTTTCTTCTAAAGATTTCTTTGAACCATCTATGATACATGACATGTCATCGGCAAACTGTGATAGCAATATTTCTTTTCCTCTTAAAGTTATTCTTTCAATGTTTTTATTATTTCTTAATATTATGGAAAGAATTTCTGCACTTAAGATGAAGATATAGAAAGAAATAGGGTTCCCCTGACGACAACAGCGTTCGATGTGGAAGAAGTTGGATTTGTGTTATTGAATGTTCTGATGTACTATAATTTGCTGGTCTCAAAATGAACGGACCTAACTGTTTCCAAATAATTTTCAAAATTCAGCTGTGAAACCTTCAGAATCAGGACATTTATTGTCTTTCATTTTTAAAATTCATTTAATTCATTTAAAGTAGTTGGGCCATCAATACTTAATGATTCGTGAGCAGATAATTTAGGTATATTGTATGAATCCAAACGTGTTTCGTGGTTAACATCGGCCAATAGAGTTTCTTATCACGTTAATTCAAGAAAAGAAGCACACGCATAATGTATGCTATAGTTTATTCTATAAAACAACATGTCAAAGGACAACAATACAATGTAAATATCTACAAAATATCTAAACCTTTGTTTAAAACTTCAAGAAGCAGATACCATGCTTGATAAAAAACATAAATGGATACATGTATATGTAATGGTATTGAACAATCTTTCATATATGTTCGCGTATTGCAGTTCATTAGGTGTTTAATAAATTTTTGAACGAGGTTTATTGGACAGGAAATATACCTAATAAAAATCAATCTAACGAATATGTTTGTCAAGAATATATGTAGTAACTTAAAGAACAACTTCCTGAGAACATCTATGATCAAAATAAGTAAGTAATACAAATAATTATCATCACATTACCATCAGCGTCACTTAACTAGCATATCAGTTTTGAAGCCATCGCAGTTAACGAAATATATTTAATAAAAGAAAATTTCATATCTAATATTTCTTGTTTTTCAACACTTTTTCCCCCACTTTCTTTCATCCTTATTTGTTAAAGTTAAATGTACGCGATATGTAGGAGTGAAAATGATAATCCTTGTTTGCGCGAAATAGAATATGCCATATGTCATTTCTTCAAAATGTGTAAGCATAAATCTATGCGAGTATCTACATATGCATGTAAATATGTAAGAAGTGAGTGGTCTATGTTTATATGTAGATCACTGTAAAAATGTAATAGTAAGACTACTGAGCATCACTTTGTGGTTGACATTGTGCAACGTTATTGTGATATATGCATTTATATCGAAAATTATTTTCACGTGGCAAGAGATTCCTTGACCTGACTGTAATATCATTATTACCTTAATTGACTAGTGTTTTGCCATGTTAATATAATATATATATAATCCATCGTGTATTCATAATGAAAATGAAGACGTTCTGAAGGGATAAATAGAGTTATCTCCCCTAGTTACATTATGAACCCATGTGTGAAGTTTGGAAAAATAACAGATAATTGTTGGATATTTGTATGTGTTAGTGATATGTTACTGGTAAGACAGTATATAGCCAGATATAGTTGTATATAATTATATCACTTAACTTCTAAGCAGTCTGAAAGTCGACATCGATATTGAAACTACCATGCTATTTCATCTACAAATAACTTATTTTTGTTCGGCAGGATTGGGCTACAAACCAGTTATAGTCAATGATAAAGCACATACGATTCACATTGGCTGGTTTGTCATCAGCGGGGTTCCCTCGCCACCGGTCTGTAGACGGTATCTCACCTGTTGAGGAGGGGCCGATGGTGGGGAAGAAACCACTACACCACCTGGTCCGTACGTCTGCTGTCCCTGTACACATGGCCCTTGGGATAAGTATGGCGGAGGACCACCATGCCCTGGTGGTCCTTGTTGATCATCATTGTGTTGTTGACCATGTACGGATTGCCACAGATATATTACAGCGTCCCGCACCAAGTGTTCAGAAGATGCCTCACCAATCGCTTTTAGTATGAACACACCGTCCTCTGTTATTTCTGATCCCGCAAACCTCCCGATGTCGTTGTCAGATGGAGATGGGGATACTTCCTTGGACAGGTACAGGTAACTCTTGATGTACCTAAAACATTGTTTAGCACGTCATTTTATAAACTAAATGAAAAGGAGTATTGCATTGTAAATCATTGACGCTACGTTTACTATGTCATTTATATCTAGTAGAACAACAGATTAAAAGGACGGACAAGGAAAATACCAAATGCTGAAACGTTCTCTAAAATGTCTTATATTTAATGTCATAACGTCTGCAATAATATTTTAAAATAATGTTCGGTTGGTCTGTAACTTCTTTTTCCCCAGTATGATAAGTCAGGATTTACATGGGGGAAAAGTCTTAAATTCGTTCTACTTACCGTTTCCTAAAGACTGGCACTAATACTGTTAAGAGCTGTACCACACCACTGATCGTGGTTACGACCGAAACCACTACAAACCACAGCCACAGGATACACAATACCATTTTGTAGTAGTGCGAGATGTTGCTTAAGACACACTGTACTGTATAACGTTGTACGTTGGTAATCATTCGGATTTGAAAGTCGCATAACACTACGTGATGATACGAAAGGTTGAATGGGTTCCATTCAACCGTTTGGTTGCCAACAATATCATTAAACACTTGACGTCCAAAGGAAGAATGATTTGCAGACCTCAGGATGCCGTCCATAATCGATAATTGTGTAATAACATTGATAAAGTACAAAAATTTTGTGAACAAAAAAAGCAGCGTAAGCCACCCCCAAGGACAACCCTTCATTACTGTAGAGTCTATCCAGCTCTTTACGTAGCGTCCCACTTGTCTTCCCATTTGGGCTCGGTCGACCATATTAAGAGACTCGTAACCGTCAGTAAGTCCTGATATCTTTGTAAATCTGAAACCCACAAGGCCTTGTCCCACAGATAGGACAATATCCGGAAGCTTGAACAGCAGAGCCTGTACTAAAAGAATCAATGGAAGCCAATGAAATTTGGACTGTTTTGCTTCTTGTCGCATTTCTCTTAAGGCAGGGATCTCATGAGACATTGGCAGGTAATAGAATTCTGACTTGCTGCATATTTTGTTGGTATATACATGCATTGATTGTGTAAATTCTTGAGGTGTCCAGCAGTTGATAGGTTCGTAAGAATTCTCCATATAAAACGACAACACCGCTAACAGAACAAGGATGCCCACTGTCCAGGAACTATTGAGTCTTCCACACTGATCACCCAGGCGGAGGTTGGACTGAGTCAAATGACGTAGAAACGGTCGCCAAACCATGGTGTCGTTTAGCTGTGGAGATATGATAATTTAAGTAAATAGTAAGTTATTGAACTGTAAAATTCTTATCAAACGTGCATTGAGTTCCCCTTACAACCTAAACGAAAACTAAAATATACCCTTGATAACCCGGACACTTTCGTTTCCTGAAAACTATGCGGATTAAACAGAATGTATCCCTTTATTGTGTTACAATCTCAATGAGTCATGCCAAAAAGCATTATCTTCCCTCTCTCCAAACCAAAATCTTCGCAGCATAATCCTCTGAATCAAGTTATTTTTCAGTCAAAGAAGATGTGGTTTTGTTTGCATTTGGTACTTGTTCATTTTTTTCGTCTTCTGTGATTTTACTGTTATCTTGTGATTCTGTGAGAATTTTGAAAATAAAGTTAACAATTTACATATATCATGAAATGTTTATCGTACATGTATTTCTAAATTGATCTTTTCAACAGTACATGTACATAAAATTACAACACTAACAACTGTATAAAGTTTAAATATGGTTATTAACCTTCAAAAATATTCTTCACATTTTTTATGTATTAACTTTAATGATTATTTCAAGGTCTGAAGAAATATCACTAAAACGAAGAGTAACCTAAATAAGCACTCAGAAGCGGTTTGTAGGTAGAGTATACTTCTTTTTTTTAATAAGTTCTTTACTTATAACGTAATATATCATGTAAGTTAATAGCCATAATTAACTACCGAACCGTGATACAACACGGGATTTTACATTTCTTCAATGGGATCCTTCAGTTGAAAAATAAGTATGTATATCTTCTAGCCAATAAAAAATGTTCTTAAAGACACACAAGTAATTAGTACCTCCAGTACAAACAGTATAGAAAATAATAAATTAAACTGCATCATACAGCAGTTTCGTCTTACTAAGACTCGTCCGTGGTGCTAAGGGCCGAACTTGTGGAAGATGGGAGGCGAGTGGAGGGAGGTGCTCTAACACTCAAAATTCAGGAAATTTAAGAACAGTATCAAGTATGTGTTTATTCTGAAACGTGCCACTATTTGAATGAATTTACATTTGGATATGATGTTTTAGTAAGCGACATAATTTGTTTATGTTATGGGATAGTAACCAAAGTTGTACCCAGTAGAAATGCATTTTTCTAGCAGATTCGAATAATTCAATAACCGTCTTATATTTGAAATTTCTTTGCTTTATCTTTTACCCCATGAAGCCGTCAGTTTCTTCAGTTGGCAGAAAAGCACGAAAAGTTTCCGAATAGTTGGCAATTTAAACATTTTCCAGAATAAGTTTAATAGTTTATTTTTCTCCCGCCACCTGTTGGTCGTTTTATATTTCCGAAAAATGTCGCCCCGACCCATGTTTGACATTACATTTCACGTCATCCTGAGAAACAGGCGGTGATTGAGAATATATTTATATTTTGCTTCAGTCTGCTTAAATGTAGTTTTCACGAAGAATTATAAGTTATGATAAGGTATGCAGTAAACAGAGCCTCGGCCTATAAATGAAAATTGCATACACTCGTTTCATAACTCTCAAACGTATGGGGACCCGTGTAAGATCAGTGATATCGTTTCAACATTATTTTAATACACAATACATGATACATAACTTATTTCAAATTATTTTCGATGTCACTGGACGCGTAGGTTTGTAATAAACTTGGTACGTTTTGATTTGGTGTTGGGGAAAATGAACTTGCACCAACTTCGTAATAGACGCATAACAAAGCTGTACTTTAGTGGTTTTCGATATAAATATCTTTCTGATGATATGGCAATATTTCATTTCAATCAATGATATCCATAGAAAAGATTATATCGACATTACCGCGGACTTGGACAGACCTGTTTTATGTCCGTGATGTTACCCACGTACAATGGACCAGACTGGTTAGTTACCGCCTAATTAATACTGTAGAGCAACGGCGTCCAATAAATATCATTATACAAAGGTCGGTATTCGCAATATAGGTAATAAACCCTGTCAAATACATCTGGTGAATGATGTAGATTTAATGATAAACATTTATAGTAAAGAAAGGCATTGTCCAGTGTTACTATAATAATCTGTGGACAATGGCTGGGTTCTGACGGTTGGTTAATATAAATATCACGAATCTAAAGACTAAATTACAAAAGATCTTTAAGGGCATTTTGATACCAAGAAAATAGAATGAATATTACAGTAGTGCTCAATCGCTTACCTTATTATCTTGTCAGACGCAAAAAACCCAACATGTAAACACCGGAAATGATATATAGGTCAAAGAAGAACGATAACTGTGGGATGTGATTGCTTCAACACAGGAGTAATTGTCATTCCTGCACCGTCTGTAAATCAGCTTTATTTCACGCAAATTATTTCTCTTATTCCATTTGCTGGGGATCTTATGTTATTCAGTTTGTTTCGTATTTTGTTTAACCTTATTTTTTTGAGAGACGTCAACTCAGTACAAAATTTTATTTTTCTTATCAACTTATTTCACGTAGTACAATGTTGAAGATTACATCAGGAAAAAGTGTTAATCCAAATATATATATATCAAAATTCGCAGTGTCCTATACGCAAAGCGAAGAACACCTTTTTAAGATGATATTTGAGTTTACAGCCAAATAATGAATTTAACTGGGTATTCATTTACTGATATCATCAACTCGAATCACTGATATCAGTAAATCAATTACTGATATCACTTATTCTAATTTATGATATCAATCTTTCGAATTATTGATATCACATTTTGAAGATAAATACTAAAACGGCGCCCGAAAGGTGACCCTGGAAAACCAAAATTGATCGAAAGCCATGTCAGAATCTTGATGGGGAGATGCACTATTACCATAATTAATTGAATTTCGTACTTTTTAGATATCTGATAATTTCAAAGAACGTCAAATACTTGTATTATTATTTTTTATTGCGTTAGGAGACAAAAAACATAACATGTATGTTTCAAAGTTGAACAAAAAGAAGTATAGTAGAAGAAGATATTAAGTAATATATGATGTAAAGTAATACATGATATTAAGTAATACGTGATATAAAACAATACATAATATAATGTAATACATAATATTAAGTAATGTTTGATGTTAAGAAATACCAATGATAAAATATTTCTTGATATGACAGAAATAAAAATAAAAATATATACAATAATAATAATAATTTATTGTTGTTATTCTGTAAAGAAAATAAAAGGTCAAGTATGTTTATCACAGTCTGACTTTGGTCCTATGTATAGAATGTACAGGTAACATGATTATCCCGACTTGACCCCGATTGGGATTTAAGGTGCAGTATGAGTTATCTCCCTTAAACAGGCAAAATTGCTGGTAATGAGTTAACTGTGTAAAGTACGGAATATGACGCTCAACATACATCTTATATTGCTATGACATTTGTTCATTTAACACCTGATGTCCGAAGTACATAGTATCCTGTATATTAAAATAAATCTGTCAAACATGGAGAGTTTATATCATATATCATAAGTATGATTATGAGTTGTTATAATAAATTTGAAAGAAATGAAAATGGAATAATTATATTTTACAGAAAATCACCCTGAAATTATCTTATCCCTATTAGTGATATATGCGACTAAAAGGAATGTATTGTGAAACAGATCAACATTTTACTCCACCACAAATGGAGAGAACACCCTTCTATCGTATTTGTTTACCGCGGATACCTGCAGACATAGTATGTCTCCTCCAGCTGCTTTCTCTTGTGTAACACGCATATTACTTTTCTGAATCCTGCGAATTATAAACTCTACATATATGTTAAATGAACGTGTAAGATAAACCAGAGTGATATTATATTTTATTTGAAAATAAATTTTGATCGTATCTGGTTATAACAATATTATTTTCCAGAGTTACCGGGATATCTTTGCGATTATATGTGTGATAGATAAAAGTACAGAATTTTTCATAAGTCTCATATTTAGATAAATAAAGATTAGCTTTGAAGCGCTAATCTCATAACGATAAACTATTGGTAGTGTGCCATTGTGTAAAACCTGATAAATGTGGCCAATTCGATTTTTATGTGGTTATTTGGGTAGTATACTTATACCTTCAGGATTGCCTTAATATGGACCCCCCCCCCCCAAATTAAATAACAACGACACATGCACACTGTCGACTACTATGAAGTACAGATGATGTCAATCACCTGAAACAAACTGCCAGTTTATTGTATCTTTAACCACGGGCTCATTCGGTGCTATAACGATATAGTTGTACTGCTGTTTCTTTATATACAGATCAAACAGTGAACATATCTCTGAATCGACATCCGAATCCGGTCCATTTGCCACTATTTAATCCTCAGTACGTGACTAAGGAAATGCTGACTCCGTCACTGACCAGATATTGATTTAACTACATCTTCTGTCTTTCTTCTCTCTCTGTCGTCGTGAGGTGAAGATGTGAATGAATCCTTTGGAAAATAGGGAAGATATCGTTTGAACTATTGTCGTGAACTTAATTATTATGTTAATACGTTATTTTAGCAAGTTCTTCTCATTGAATTTCCCGTGACCTTTCAATAAGCCCTTTAAACGCCATTTCGTTATAAAACATTAAATTCTTACGTCATATGTCATGTTTTTTTCGGTTCTTCAGACAGACGGAGGACGGGTGACAAGCGGGATGCAGATGATGTGTTACACCAAAAACAACCTTTACAACTCTGTTATATTCGGTTCCAAATAATTTCCCCGAAATGATACAATAAAAAAAATATCACTTTTAAATAACCATATCGCTACCCTTTCGTTACCAACAATAATGTTGAATATTTATCCAAAGGTAGACTGAGCTCAGACTCCAGAACGCCGTTTATGATAGATAATTATTAGCGCCCTATTTGTCTTCCGACATAACACATCCCTCGAAACCCACTCACGTTGAACAATAACAAAATTAAAGCAATGTGTGATTTGATACAGTATTTTACAAAATAATTGTTCTCCCAAACCATTTCAAAAATTCAGTATTTGATGCCCGTATGTAGATTAGATGTAGATCAGTAACGGATGACATCTGTTCGGTTTATGGGCATTTGTTCCCTTTTAACGAGAACGTATCATCATATCTACTGCTGTGTAAAGTATATTTTCAATTTATTGTTACCACGTGCTGAAATCGAACCGTAGTCTACAACCTGCCACAAATCCGTCAATGATGTCTTATTCTTTCGTGATCTTATTTTTCTTTATCATTATTTCATCACAAAAGTACACAGATGAAATTCTAAACAAACAACACTGGTAGTATCCATCCGATAGTTTGAAATAAGCAAAGTCATGTCCATTACTGTGAAGATTAAACTTGTACTGTAGCGGTAGTGCTGATAAGAACATCACCAGTATACATGTATGTTTGTCGTGCCCTGTACATGATCCTACCAAAACAGGAGATGAAAATTCATGTGTCAGAGGTGAAAGATTAAGAATATTCTCTTGGTTTAATTTTCAGATAATTCCCCGCCACGTTTCAGTAGAAATGAGGAAAAATACAGGAGTTTCGTCAAGATGTGGTACATTTGAAATCTGACCAACCCGAAAAATCACTACATCGATATGGTCGTGAATGTGAGATAGATTCTACAGGTGGACCTTGAGAAAAGGCGCTAGTTCAAGAGCATTGATCAGGAATCCACGATTGGCACTTGTATTAAAATAACCAGTGCTTCACAACTCTTTGTCGGCACATTTTACTTGACTTCCTTAGGCCACCGTATTTCACCTTAAATGCTTCCGGAGTGGAACGGGGAAGTCAATTAATTTGAAAATGTCTTTTTTTTCCGCGATCATCATCGGTTTTAACTTTAAAATATGTATTGGAATAGCTACATGTATAATTGATAATTCATATTTTGTCAACTTTTAACGAAACTTGTAGTGTTTTATATTATGCCTTGTATTTGTATTCCGGAATTTTTTTTAAAATTCCAATTTTAATATTAGTATTAACTATCAGCTTTCGTATCGACCAATCAAACACGTCGTTACATAAAATCTCTCCTCTTGCCTAAACATAGCAACCATTGACGCCAACAACATCAACGTTGATCAAAACGAAAAGCACAGTGTCTCTTTGTAGATAGTTGTTCATTGAAAAACAAACATGGATCAAACGAAGAGACCGCTGTTGATCCCTCCAGAGTTTAGCACATATGCTGAAAAACATGGAATTTTCGATATGTACAAGGTAAAATCATATTTTATATGTCATGCACATGATGCAGGTCTGTGTCTGTTTCAAAATTTCTATGCTTATTTTCAAAACTACTACATGTAATAGTTTCAAGAGCCCATTTAAGTTCCAGTGCGTCTTTTCAAATCCAGAGATGTTTCCATCTTGATTAACTTCACGTAGCCTTGTCGCCAACACCACATGGTTCCGTCAGGTCAACTTGATATTGGCCACATTAATAATAATTCTGACCTGCTATATAAATTCGTGTAAAATGTTACAATCACCTGATAGTTCTTTACTTTTAATAAATATTTGAAGGTTTCAAATCATTTTTATGAAATATACTCATAATAATGTTCAAATATCATAAACATCATCTCAATACCAACAGATAAGATTACATCTACCATTTTATCGACCTCTTTCAATATACTGAATATCGTGTCGATATAAGTGGTGTGTGCAATATGCAAAGTAAAAAACAGAAAAATAGCATTATGTCTTTTTACCTGATGACCATTCAAAACACTGTCACTGCACACCAAGGTAATCAATAAGTAACTAGTAGAGTGGATAATAAAGAACGTACAATGCCAATGTTCTGAACTTACTGTATCTTATACAGTAATCAGTACACATTGAGGTGAGGAATTAAAATGTGGCCAGCTGGACCAAACACAACTTTACAGCATAAGATATAAAAGATACTGCTCAAACCAAATCAATGTGAAAACATGTGGATGTATAATTTCTATGGACAATGATAGACATCCATGATTCAGATTTTAATATTTTGATTTTTAATTATATTTTGATAGGGTCACTAAGTTCATAAATTACAACCAGGGTTTTCCATAAGAGTTGGTCGCCGGCAAATTTGACTGGTTACTTTGATCATTTGGCCGCCTACACTCTGACAACGTGTGCAAAAATTACCATATTTATATTGTAAATATCCTTCTTGGTAATGAAACTAGTTTGCGCGTAAACTGAATATGGACAATTGAGTTACCAACCCGTGAGG